GGGGGGGGGGGGGAGGGGGAAGATTGAGACAAACAGAAGATACCCGTGTGAACAAACTCTCAAAAGCATGATAAACCCCACGCGTTTCTCCTCGATCGCCCGTGTAACCTCGAGGCCCTGTACATCGCGGGCAACAATGGGGCAGAAATAGCCAGCAACGTTCCTCAGCCCTTCTCAGGCAGCCCCACTGCGCCACCAGCACGCCCACGACCCCAGCTCGTGAACCCCCGAACCTGCAATCCCACCATGCAGCAGCCACAGCAGCCTGAGGTCAAGGAGTCCCCCCTGTGGGCGCAGCTTCAGGCTCAGATGCAGCCCCAGAACGCCTCATCGGCTTCTGGAGCCACCAGCAACGGTCAAAACAACGCAGGGAACGCAGGAAATGCCGTCAGCCAGCCTCAGGCCCAACAGCCTCAGCCAGATCCTCAGGTGAGCGAAATAAGACAGACGAGGAATGAAGCTTGGTGCGACGAGAGCCCATGTGCTCATCCATCGCTGGTGAGGGAGTGCATTCATTACCTGTGTGTGCCTTCCTTGTCCTTGGTGTTGGTGTGCAGCCCCCGATGTTCGCGAATTTTGGCAAATGGTGGAGGGAGGTGACGCAGGCAAACAGGATTCCGCCAGTCTGCACCGCGCCCCAGACCACACAGACCACCACAGACAGGTGGGTGGGTGGGTGAGAGAGACCACATTATGAAGCCACCCTCCCTCCCTCCCTCCCTCTCCCCTCTCCATTTCACGCCACTGTGTTGCGTGTTTGGTGTGCGCCAATCCTGCACTGCATCCGTCAGGCCCTCACCCCCACAGCCACAGCCACAGCCGCAGCCACAGACACAGACACAGCCACAGCCGCAGCCACAGCCACAGCCACAGCCACAGCCGCAGACGCAGCCGCAGCCGCAGACAGGGCAACGGCAGCGCACCAGTACGACGGCTTCCCCCTCTCATGCCGCTATGTTCAACTTCATGGCCACTGGCGCACAGCTGGGCGCTGCACAGCAGACCAACATCCACGAGCGGACAGCCATGGAGGGCGCCGCCAAATTCCTCATGAATCAGCGGGATCGGCTGCTGAACCAGCAGCACCAGGCGGACCACCAGCAGCAGCAGCAGCAGCAGGGGCAGGCCGTGAGTGAGGCTGTGGGTGTGGGTGTGGGTGTGGATGCCGTCCCGGTCAAGAAGGACACTGCCGTGGGGCCGGGAGGTGGGGAGGGCGGGGGTGTTGAGGGGAGTAGTGAGGCAGGATCGCCGTCACCATCGCAGCAGCAGCAGCAGCGGCAGCAGCAGGGGCAGGGTGAGGGTGAGAGTGAGGGCAAAGGCTGGGAGGTGTTGGCTGGCGAGGGGCTGAAGCGGCACATCGGAGGAGCGTCAGATGAGGACACGCAGACGCAGGGGCGCCAGAAGGTGAGTGGGGATCTTGGTGGCTGGGTGAGTGGGTGCAGATGGAGATATGTGTGTTTGTGTGCGTTGCAGAAGGTGACACTGACTTCGGCGCGGCAGCAGCACCGTCTCAAGCGTAGCAAGATAAAGTCCCAGGGTGTCGCAGACGACGTCGAGGTGCGTGCGTGTGTCCACCACCACAGCGTGCCACACAGAAACGCAGTCCAACTCCTCACTGCGTCTGCCATTTGTGTGTAGGTGTCTTGCGGTGGCGCCCAGCAGTCGTCGACACAGCAGCAGGGAACCAACACGGCCGCGATCGCCTCACAGACACAACCACAACCAGAACAGGTACGTATGAGTCGAAGCCGTGCATCCATCCACGAGGCCTTGATCGACCCGTCGGATCGCACCAACACCAACACACACAAGGACTGCAAGGACTGGGCCGACGTCAGTGACGATGACGAGCTTTTGCCGCCCATCGGCCCATGTCGGCCTCACAGGAAAATCCAGGCCGACAAAAAACTGCTGGCGGAGAAGGAGCGGCTCTCGTCGTAAACACCCCAGCACACGGGCAGACAGGCAGACAGACAGACAGACAGACGCACGTGCTGGTTGGTTGCTGTATGGGTGTGCGTGTGCAGGCGCATCGCTGACTTGAAGGGTCCCTTCCTGATCAATGATGACTACCTGGAGAAGGCCAGCAAAGTCATTCTAAGGTAGGTATGGGGAGTGACTCAGAGATACAAACTCCGTATGTCCATCCATCCATCCATCCGTCCATCAGTTTGAAGACCTCAAGTGCGGTGGGCCGGTGGAGCAGCTTCATCGACAGCCTCAGTGGCAGGCTCACCTCACCCTCACCCCCCAGTGATACCGAGCGCGAGTCGATTGCAATGGAGTTCTGGAGCCAGCTTCTGGGCGAGGAAGAGGCGGACCAAGACACTGTGGCGGCCTTCCAGGCGGAGGTACTGCTCGGAGAGGCCACCCGGGGGGACATGCCAGTGCCGCGCATAGAGGGCTACAATGAGGGGGACATGCCACCTGGAGAGGCCTGCAATGAGGACGATAGCGGCAGTGAGGAAGATTGGAGGTAGGCAATGCACACCCACCCTCCCAATTTAGTTATCCTCTGTGTGTTGTGAATGGTATGCTTGTGTGTGTGTGTGTGTGTGTCAGTTTGCCACCCAAGGGCAAGCAGCCGTACAGCGGCAAGCTCAAGCCCGAGACCATCGCACCAAAGACACTCACACACGTACTACTATGAGCATACCCCCTCCCCCCCCTCTCCCCTCCTCCCACCCCCCAACACACGCATCCATCCATCTGTGTGTGTGTGTGTGTGTGTGTGTGTGCAGCTTCGTGAGGGCGCCGGCGTGGGGGCACTCAACCTGCCATCTCATGCTGACGTGAGAAGCCACACCCACACGCACGTGTGTGTTGTCGGCATCTGTCTGTCTGTCTGTTACGTCAGAGTGATGTGATTGAGGCCATGAAGAAAGCCGTCGGCGACAGAGCGACCGGCAGGGTGCCCACCACCTGGCTCAAGAAGCTCACCGATGGTGCGCAGACTCACACACACACAATGCACTGATCTGCGGATGGGTGGGTGGCTGGACGGCTGCAGGCGATGCCGAGCTGAATGAGTGGATATCGAATGCCAGAGGGGAGCTCGGCCACAGGGCTCTCAAACCACTGGCCTGGAAGTAAGATCAAGAGACTACACGCACATGGATGGATGGATGTGTGTGTGTGTGTGTGTGTGTGCAGGATGCTGAAGGCCGTGCTGGACTACGACAGCCTCTCCATCAACGCTCAGGACGCTCTGAGGCAGAAAGAACACGAAATAACGGTCGGTCGGGGGCGGGTCGGTGGGCACACACACTCCCTTGTGTGTATGGCTTTGTGTCTGTCTGTTTGCAGAGCCTCAGGGTCCAGATGGACAACAAGGACAAGTAAGTCAGCCAGCGATACGCCGTTCCTCTCCCGCCTCTCCCTCCCAACACACACATCGGCACTTCCCCATGTGTGTGTGCGTGCGTGTGTGTGCAGGAAGCTCACCGAGCACACGAAAAAGATCGAGAATATCAAGAGCACAAACACCGACCTCCTGGCCAAGAAGCACGACGCAGAGGTCAAGCTCAAGGAGGAGCGCATCAAGAATGAGAACGACCACAGGGCGAAGAAGCAACGTACACCCACACTCACACCCACACACACACACACACACACACACGACTGTGGCCATGTGTGTGGCCGTGTGTGTGTGTCGTAGGGATGGATGAGATGAAGCGTCAGCTGTCTGAGCGTGCTGAGGAGGTGGCCAAGGCGCAGCAGCAGATCAAGGACATGGAGGGCACACACACAGGTAGATGGATGGGCGTCTACAGAGATGCATTTGCTTTGCGTATGTGTGTGTGTGTGTGTGTCTGCGCACAGCGGAAATGGCTCAGAGAGACCAGCAGATCTCCACACTGCGGGATGCTTTCACGTGAGCAGGCGGCACACACATCGCCATCCATCCATCCATGACATGTGTGTGTGTGTGTGTGTGTGCAGCAATGTGCGCAACCAGCTCAACGGCCGCAATCAGGACATCCAGAGACTCTCGTACGCACCAGCGACACACACACACTCCCTCTCCATGTGTCTATGTGTCTATGTGTGTGTTGATCTGTCTTGTCGACAGAGAGCAGCAGAACAAGACGACCGAGGAGATGAACACACTGAGGCACCCTCCCCTCCCCCCATCCCCCACACACACATCACACACACAGATGCTCGTGTGTGTCGTGTGTGGTATTTCTGCTTGCAGGCAGCAGCTGCAGGAAGCCGGGCAGAACAATGACGCGCTCAGGCACACACACACAGACGCATCCATCCATCCATCCATGCGGACATCCTTCTCTCCCTCTGTGTGCGTGGTTGACGTCGTGCAGACAGCAGCTAGAGATCGCACTCAAGGAGAAGACGGAAATTGACCAGAGGTAAGTACGAAGCTCTCCCTCATCCAGCCCTCACCCCTTCGCCCACACCCACACCCCTCCCTCTCCCTCTCTGTGTGTATACGTGTGTGTATGTGTGATGATCCATCAGTTTGTCGGCCGTGCGTGAGACCCTCACCGCCCTGCAGGCGGTGCATGAAGCCCTCGAAGCCGAGCACTCTCGTGTCACGACCGCCGCTGACAACACGAACACCGATGCGAGCAGCCCCAGCAGCAGTGCTAGCACCAACCCAAAGTGATTGGGTGCTGCTGCCAATGTACTCGATGCCATGCTCACGTGTGTGTGTGTGTGTGTGTGTGTGTCGATCAGCCTCACTTTGGAGCACTGCAGCTCGTTGAGCTCGGTGACGGCCGTAATGAAGCTTTCTGGACAGATCGATGAAGAGGTCACCCGCCTGAATGCCGTCAGAAATGTACCTAACACACACACACGTCCTTCCGTCCACCAAAGAAGGGGGCATCCATCATCTGTGTGTGTGTGTGTGTGTGTGTGTTGTTAGGCCGCCATGAAGCGCATAGCCGATCTCCATAGGGAGGCCGAAGTACTCATCCATTCCTTTACGACTGACACACCCAGCACGCCCATGTCTGTCTGTGTGTCTGTCTGTCTGTGTCAGCGCAAGGCCGAGGTAGCGCGTGAGCATATGGCCGAGGGCAAGCTCGAGTGCGTCATCTGCTGGAAGGCCGCCAAGACACACGCATTCATTCCCTGTGGACACCGGGTGCGTAGCACACCACACACATAGCACACCACAGCACACACATCTCTCTCCCTCTCTCTCTCTCTCTGTGTGTGTGTGTGCGTGTCCAGGAGTTGTGTGCCAATTGTGTGCCAAAGATGCTCGCCGAGCAGGGGGATTCGCGCAGGTGCCCCACATGCCGACAGCCCTTCACAGACATCAAGCGCATCTTCATCACCTGACTGACACATACATGAGGATACAGACACCACCACCACCACCACCACACACCCGTACCCATATCCACCCACACGCAGTAGGGCAAGGAGGGAGTGGAGAGAGGGAGGGAGGGTTGATGACGTGGTTGATGTGTGCATAGTTGTGTATACATGGCTGGCAGGCGGTGCTGTGCGTGTGTGAAGGGGTGGGCGGGTGGGGTGGGTGAGGTGTGTGTGCGTGGACAGTCTTTCGTTTTTGTTTTCCTCACTTGACACGTGCACACACGCATACCTCGATAGGGCCGGCGGGCGGGCTGTTTGTTGACGGGGAGGGAGAAGATGCAGTTTCGTTGTCTGTTCAGGGTCCTTTTTGTACGTCTATGTGGATCGTCATGATACAGGCAGACGGAGTACTGGTCAAGCGATGAGCGGACACAGATTGAAATTTCAACAGCTTCATCTCGGTCTCGCACTGACTGAAACGAAACATTCAATTGAATTGCTGTCAAGTCCATCAATCAATACATCATGATGGACACCTTTCATATACATGCACATGCTGTTCGCATTAATTGTGAGAAGGGAAGAAAAGGAGGAAGAAAGAGGGCTATCTAGTCTGTCATCATAGTCATCGAAACACTCACCGACTGGGATGTCTATTTATAGCGTTATGCTTTCGTGGCATAGACCAATACATTCTACACAAAAAGGAACCCATCAATAATAGACGCCTCCTTTTCTGACCCCCTCCTTTCCTGCTCTTTGCCGTCTCGACCTTCGACCAGTAGGTCATGTCCGGGGACTTCTTCGTGACGAACTCCTTGATCAAGTCATCGTCGCCGACCTCTGCGATGACAGCACTGAGACTATCAGCGAAAGTGGCCTGGGAGTTGAGGTAACTCTGCACTCTGCCCTCGGCAGTGGTTTTGGTCCACGGGGCCATCTTCTTCCGCCAAATCTTCCGAACGATTCCTACTGCATGGCTCTTGCGCGGCGTCGGGAAACACGTGATGTAGCCGAGGGCTACAGTAACTCCGAAGCCGGTGCCGGCGAGAGCGAGTCTGGAAATGGTGGGCCGAGACAAGAGCTCGAGAAAGGCCGAGCCGTCTATCTTAGTCGTTGTGCGGGACCCGAGGTAATTCGCGATATCACGCGCAGACAATCTCGCCTATGCGCATGTGTGGTCTGTCAATTTACCGCTTCAACCAGCGAGGGGCGTGGGCATTGTGCGTGTTGCCAGCAGACCCCTGTGGAGCTGCAGCGAACTCGTCAAGGACGGTGGGAGCGGCCAGCGAGACGTTGTGCAGCACCAGACAGAGTTCGCGTACATGCTTGGCATCTCGATTAGGGCAAAGTGATGGAAAGCATCTCCTGTCTGGCGCTCGAGGCTATCGCTGAGTACTCCTTGGTGTTCCTGTAGTATACCCATAGAAACCGCTCTACGTCTCTGTTTGAGTGGTAAAAGCGCCGCAGTTGAACTGTTCAGCGATGATCGTTCACGAGCAGCCGAGGTTGATGATGTGCTTGAAGGCGTTCAGGTAGAGTTGCATGTCCTTTTCACACGACTTGTCCTTCTTACACAGCGCCAACCACTTTCCAGCACTCACACATAGAGAGAGACACATATACATACACGTATACATCCATACCTTTCTCGTTACTTTGACAGTCTCCATTGAGTGTACTTTTGTGTACGCGCTTTTTGTGCTGTTTCAGCTTTGAATCCGGTGCGTCCCATGTGGACTCCCAGATGAGGTCCTTCTGTTTTTTAGTTGAGGCTCTTCCTGTGCCGCGACGTTTCTTGGTAGTCTGTGACCTAATGGGTACATCAAATACAGTCATCGCATGCGTGTGTCATCTATGCAGTCTGGCGTGACAGCTTACATTCACTTTCGGCAGGCGAAGTCGCTGTCGCCCGTATCGCTCGAGCTGCTGAAGCTGCTCGAGCTGCTCGGAGAGCGTAAATTCTCAACGATATGGTATTCGTCCTTGTAGGCGCCCTTCTTGTAATTCCTCACAGGGACATAAGGCACTTGAGACCGAAGCCTGGCAGTGTTATCAAAAAAATGACAATGGACGATATCGGTACGTCCTCGTCCACCATCTCTCGGATGACCTCTCAGACGATGCCGATAACAGGAAGTGTCAAGTCCCTGTCTTTGTCGATGGCGGTCTCATACAATGCGTCCATCTGACCTGCTCCGACGATGCGCGAATCGTTGTGCGGCTGAGGGGGTGAAAAGAGGAACTTCAAGAAGTCTGCGGTCTTGTTTTGCTGACCGCCCTGACCGCGTCACACAAGGTAAAGAGACGGAAGGAATGAGAAGGGCTGAGAGGGACAAACGAGGAATCACCACTGCAATGATGTCGGCTATCTCGTCCCTAGTCATCAGGGCCAGAACCTCCAAACTGGTCAGTTGGTCCCCCTCCTAGGCGTATGCCTCCTGACGGGAAGACACCTCCTTGCCTAACGCAAATAAGGCATCCCACGATTGATCGTTGTTGCGGTTCGCGGTCAGGAGGGAGGCCTGCAATAAGCACAAGGCCCGATGCACATTGCAAAATAAGTTTGGAGCGTGACGATTATTCCCGTTTCTCGACAATACCACACAGGCCCAGCCAAACTTCTCGAGGGTCAACCTTTCCCACTTTATGGGCGGGTCATGTGCCAACCGAGGGAAGAGACCGAAGGACAGGTCCGCCAGGATCTCCAGAAGATAAACCGGGCGAATCGTACTTCCATCCTCCAACTCTATCGGCTTGCAGGCAGGGATGGTGGTGTCCGTCATGTTGGTCACCAAGACACGCACCACATTGCCGTCGGCGTCGTCTTCCAGCTTCCCCATGATTCTGTCCATGGCCTTGGCCAGGGAAGGGAAGGTGACGGACAGCGCTATGCTCGACTGATCTCCTCCCGCAACTCGGGCGTCAAGCCCTCGATATACACCCTGTAAGCACAGAACTCGCACAGAAGCCATCCCCTTTCGGTGTGTCCTTGTGCTGGTGTCTTTGTGCATACAGACTTGTCTAATGGAGGCGACTTGGGGTTCCAGCTTCCCTACCGGACCCTATCGGCAGGTATACACACAGCGCTCATAATGATCTGTCCCTTGTTTGGTATTTGTGTCGTTCAACCGACATTGACAACCGACATGGAATATGGGTACGGATGTTTTGATTTGTCGGAGGTCTTGGTAGATGCCTGGGCGGCCGAGGCGCTAGCCTGTTGGTTGGTGGAGGCAGTGACTTTCGCGGTGGTCTTAGAGGAGGTTCCTGACCAGGCCGCTACCACGGCCTCGACCCTATAACCAAGTCAGACCAACCCTCAGATACTCATCCACTTCTCGTTCGTCCTTTTTCTACGTGTGTGGGGTGGCAGACCTATCGGGGTCGCCTTTGGTCTCATCGTTGGACTCGTCGGCGTTGGGCATGTCAACTTCGACCCAATCTGATATGACCCTGTTCTCTCTCTCGAAAGGCACGGGATGGGGCCAGCGCAGCGCCACTTCTGCCTTCATGCAATCCGATGGGATCATACAGGTGAAGACCTTGTGAGAGTACATGCCACTCCCACGCAGCGTCCACTCACTCGCACCCATCACCATAACGTCCCACCGCATGCTCGCCGGTCGTTCGTAGTCATTGACATCTCGGTCTCGATCGCTTTCCTCAATGTCGGTGACCTCTTGGGCGATCTCGCACGCCAGTTCCAGCCTGTGCTTGTCATAGAGGCCTGCGGTCACGGTCATGCCGTATCCACTTTTCACCACCTTCAACACGCCACGGCAGGCGAGGGGCTTCAGATGGCCGAAAGCACGGTAGGCCTGGAAGAGCGTATCCGTCTCTCCCCACACCAACGCCGGCGAGAAGACCGCAGGTGGGATGAAGCCGATGCAGTTGACGTCGGTGAACACCGACTTGTCAATGAGGCTGAGGTCGAGCCCCCAGAGGCGAGACCACTCCGGGTGTGGTCTCTCGCCTCTGAGGTGAAGGAGTGCATCGAGGCTGACGACGGGCAGCTGCTCAGCAAGTACTTCTTTCGGTTCAAGTTGGTGTCCACCCATGCGGGGGATCGATTAGCTCCTTATCTTTGACATCCCCAACATCTGCGGCCGATGGCTTCAAAGATGCGAGACAGTACAGGAACAGCTGCGGAAAAAACACCGACGACACAGAGACAGAAACAGAGAGGAACGTGGTATTTCCAGCACCTCCCTGGTTGTCTCACTCTCTCCTTGCACGACTTTCCTGTATCATCCCTGTTTGATAACCCCAGATTGACTGACTTGTACCATCATAGACGAGAGTTTGAGACCGAAGCCTGGCAGTGTCATCAGGAGGGCGACGATAGATGACAACGGATTGCTCTCTGACGCCGCCTGCCGCTCCTCCGTGATGGTCGACCTCCTTGAGTCGCAGCCCGTTCCGACATCCCTCTTTGTAGGAAATCTGTCGCTCTGTGAGTGCATGCTGCTGGCACAGGAGGCACACTTGCTGGTTGACGCCGCGATGGCTGATGCTAGTGTGAGAAGGGTCAAAAGGGCGGCTGCTGTTGTGAGAAGAAAACGCAGGGATCATCCGTACTGCTGCCAAAAACTGGCTGCTGCTGCTGCTGCTGCTGCTCTAGCTGCTATTGTGGTGTGAGTCGATGAATCCTTCCAACACCTTCTCGTGCGGCAGCGACACCTACGATTTGGCGGCGGTGGCTAAACGTATACTTCATTGCCTACTTCTCGTCGCACCATGCGATAGTACAATCCTGCAAGCCCCACACCATCAACCATTCATCCGCCCTTCCCAATCATGTTCTGTCAATTGCAGCCTCTCTCTTCTTGTTGCTTGCCTGGGTGTTCGTTCCTCTCGCCCTTGACATGAATGATACTCGCTGGCAACGCTTTCCTCTTCTGACTTGGCTGCCGATTGACGAAACCTCTCAAGATGCCGTCCACTGCCAAAAGGCTTACAACCAATAGCACACCCCACACAGGACGGAGGGATCATCCGCTGGTCCGCTCCGCCAACAGACAAATTGATCAGCTACGCCGCAAAGCATCTGACACATACAGACAGACAGAAGTCCACAATGAAATCATCAGGTGGTGAGTTTGTCAGTGTGACCTGTGAGGCGGATGTTGAGGCGGAACTCAGTAATGATCGAAACGAGGATAATCGCGATTGTTGTTGGGCTGAGTGGTGGGTCGGCAGCACAGCCGAGGACGGCGACGGGCATACAAAAAGTCACGAAGAGTCTTCGGGCCTCACGCTCCTGCACCGCCTTAAGCGACTTCAACGCAGCCTCGCAGACGCGCCCATGCTCCTCCTGCATCAGACATGACAGCCATACAAGCGCAGCCACCTAGGTACAAAACTCGAAGAAGCGCACCTCTCTCTTGCCGATAAAGGTGGTTCATTTAGTGTCCTTGTCGTCCACTATTGGAAAGGTCTCTTCAACCGCGTTCGGCGTGGCTGTCGCTTTTCTCCCACTTAAGCTTTCCTCGGAAGACCACAAGCATTGGTTCGTCAATGTCTCACACCGAGATCCGCGAGCATCCTTGGTTCAGGTCATCATTATCGCCCTGGGTCTGTGCTGACGACACGTGCGGGGCCGTGTACCTGTTCAGATCCACTTTTGGCCCGGCCCGATGTTCCTGACATGACAGACTGCAAAAAGCACGCTCGGTCGAATATGTACTTTCACACGTGGGTACATCTGTCGTCGTCCTTCTCCTCGGGGGTCTGGCAGCAGTTGTAGAGGGTGGCTCACCAGATTCTCCAGGATCGAGCCACCCTATAAGCCACAACACAAAGCACAAACCGAAGGGGCCCGTGTGTGTGAAGGCCATAAATGGCGAACACACCTCTCCTGCATGGTCATTTATCATTGTGTGTCGCTTGCTCCTCGGGAACTTGCTGAGCCATGTGCCCCGCCGTATGTAGTCGATGATGCCTATGGCTTTTTGGGGTACCAGGCGACGTAGTCCAACAAAGACGCCCCTTCCACAGTGAGTGGAGCGTTGAGCAGCCGACTGATGTCTTCGGTGAGGGGACTGGCACTGAGTAGGAACTCCATTCGCTGCATGATGAGCTTCTGAGTCGTCTTCGAGTTATTCCACTATAAGACAGCACACCACACCATCCATACATAAATGCCCCCCCCTTTCCTTCTTCCTTCCCATCTTCTTTCTTAGCTCCCCATTCTCTTTTTCCCCTCACCTTCCAGTGTGCGAGTCGCATGCTGCGTCCCTTGTGAGCCCCCCTCTCATACACCCTGTCAGGCAGATGAGGCAGGCGGCTGAACGTGTACGCCCAGTGCCGCGATGCAGCATGACATCGATCTCAACCAGTGTCCCCCGATGTTCAAGCACATCCAGAGATATCGCGCAGCCCTCCGTTGCTCCATCCCAACACCAACAAGCATTGCTGCCGGACAAAGTCGTTGAACGCATCCTCGAGCTGGTCGAAAACTGCGGGGCTGACGTATCCTGGGACAAGCCGATCCATTGCACGGCGGGAGTCTCTCGAGGAGCTCGTAATGTCGGATCTCCTCGAATGAGTGGCCCCTGTGACGCATTTTGACGGTCCTGATGCGACGGGACAAATAGTCCTGATGGAGTCATCGCATAAGGAGGGCATCATGTGACTCCACCCGTCTCGTCTCGTCTTTTCTCGTCGTGCGCCGTACAAGCTTGAGGGTTTGTTCATTCCAGCAATATCCCTGGCTGATGAATTTCGAGAAACGACGATGGAAATCCACTCTCAAACCTCGCCGCGATGGAAATTTGGCTAGCATGATGGCGCCCATCAGCCGAGATATGCTCACACTTTTCAGTGATTCTTGACACACGATTGACGGTTGCTGGTGGAATGGTGAAGGGCAATCACCATGTGCGTCTGTCCATCCATCCATCCACCCATCCATCCACACGCAGCATGAACAGTAAGTGGCCTTTCGCCGGCCGACAAACCAATGCACACCGTCACACATGATGGCCCCGTAGGCAGTCTTTTTGCGTAGGTGCGTGACTGACTTGCTATTCAGACAGAGGCTGGCTGGCTGCCTGGCGTGTTGTGGTCTTCGTGTGTGTCAGCGTGAGTCACAGACGTTTGCCTGCGCCTGGCTCAGCGTGCGCATGGGCATTCAACTATGAATGCAGCGATGTGTGTCCACACTCTCATGCAACGATGGATGCACTTCGGCGTTGCGCTTCTGCCGGTAATGGCCACCACGACCATCACGGCAGCAAGATGCACTCTGTCACATTGACAGTCACACAGGCAGGCAGACAGGCAGGCCGCAGTTGTCCTCCATCGATCTGTCCGAGCCACAAACACCTCCGATGGATCTGTCGACCCACCACAGGAGTACCGCTGCTCTGATTGACCAGCGAGGGCGACATCTGAGATGGCAAAAAGACCCGCACCCTCACACACACACACACACACACATACACACACACGGAGGCCTTCACACAGGCACCACAGGCAACGACAGACAGACAGACAGACAGACGGAGAGGCTTTTTTCTCAGTAGGAGCAAGAAGTCAGCCGGACGGTCACTATAAAACCGACCACAACACCACGAGGAGAGGACGGCTGGGAGGCATGCCGATCGAGAGGAAAAACGACATATCGTTCATCGCGCTCACGCACACACATCGATGATTGATTGATGAGAGGAAAAACTACAAACTGAGGCATCGCAGCGACCGAAAACTGCAGCATGCACAGCACGCGACACGCGACACATGTACGGAGGACGTTACGGAGGTCGACACTTGGTAGAAAACCCAATCTCTCTCATCTGTCGGCAATCTGCTGCCGCAGGTGTGGGTTTGGTTTGTGTCGGATCATGATCGCTTGATGGGCTTGACCATGAGGCCTCTGGGCTTGTAGCTGCACACACAGACACGACAGGCACGAGGAAGGACACACACAACACAACACAACACGCAGGAATGCAGGGATGTGCCCATTGTGTGAGTGAGTCGCTCACGTGATTGAGTAGAAAAACTCCGGCTCGGTCGTGATCTCGAACTCGTAGCGCTTGAACAGCGCCGCGATTGTCATGCGGACCTGCAAAGCCACAGAGAGGGAGACCACACACCACATCGCTTCCATTTCGTTCTGTGTGTACAGCGATTGCCCCCCCTGCTGTGCTGGTTACCTCGATCAGCGCCAGGTGTTGCGCAATGCTGCATCGCACAAACAAGCCGACGAGAGATGGAAGGGGTGGTGTGTGAGGTCGTCGCCCGATCTCACCAAGATCTTGGGGCGATGCTGAAGGGCTGGAAGAGTTTGTTGTAGACCTTCAGCTGCTCCTCGGAGGCCTCAAGCCATCGCTCGGGACGAAACACCTTGCCATCGCCCCAACTAAGGCCAACACACACACACTCCAGGAAGGGGTTGCAGTGGACAAAGCACTTGTTTCCTTGATGCGTTTGTCTGCTCGGTCGCTGGCATGGCATACATTCGGTCGTCTCTCAGGCGAGCGAACAAGGGCACGAACATCTGGTAGCCGCCCGGGATCCAGTAGTCCACGCCGCGAGAGGTGACTTTGAAGCCGCTCTCTGTCTGGCGTCGGGTGCCGTTGCTCACGACGGGAGAGCTGCACACACACACAAGCACAAGGATGGATCTCGATGTGTCTTGTGGTTGGTTGGTCACTGACATGCGCATGATTTCTTTGACACAGGCGTTGAAGTAGGGCAGCTGGGCCAGCTCGTCGTAGGACGGAAGCTCCTCCGCAAACTTGGCCGCATCCAGCTCCTGCACTCGACACACAACGAAGAAGCGCATCGAGGCCTGCATCTCATCTTGCTTGCGGGGGTCGCTCTGTCTGCCTGCCACGTGTGTGTGTGTGTGCTGACCTACCTGTTGGAGCTTCTTGAGCACAGGGGGATTGCTGGACAAGTGATAGACAGCCCATGAGATGGTGTAGCCAGTCGTGTCATGCCTAGACACATGGATCGATGGATGGATGGGTAGACACAACACAACACACACACGACGGCACCATGCTGGATGCATTCATTCGAGTGCGTTGCATGTGTGTGTGTGTGTGTGTGTGTGTGTGTGCGGTGCCCACCCACCCACCCGGCCCAGAGGAGGGTGTAGATATCGCAGAGCTTCTCGAACTCACATTGGTAGCCAGGATTGTTGTGGATGTACGAGATGATCGACGCGGCCTGGCAGGCCACACACCACACCGCCAAAGACACTCCGCTGCGTGCGACTCACTGGCAGCGCTAAGCAGCGCTCAACCTCACTCACTACTCACGTACGTCTTGTTTCTCCGGCGGGGTGTCGAGATACTGGCGGTATATCTTGCGGCACACGTCACGGAAGAGCCGAATGGACTGGTAGTACTCACGGACCTGGTCCTTCCAGACCATGTAAGGTCTACACACACACACACACACTGACGGATAGGATGCCAACACACACACACAGTGGGTGGGCGGGGTGCGGTTGGCGCACCGAAATGGGTTGAGTAGTAACGGGTCTCACGGAATATCACATCAAGGCCACGCAGGAGGGCCTTGGCCTCGCCGTTGCGCTCGTCGTCAAACGCGTGGAACTTGTAACTGACACACACAGAGACCATCGACAGACACATGAGCCGAGCCAATCTGTGTGTGTTGGCTGATCGATCCTGCGCGCGTGTGTGTGTGGTGTGTGGGTATGTATGTACTTGTATGCGACCTCCCCGATCATGTCGATGGTGTAGCGCAGCCCCCACTCGGGCATGTTGACGATCGTCCCTTTGTCGGCCGCGTCTTCGAGGGCTTTGACGAAGCTCCCCAGCACACGGTGGTAGATGTGCGTCTTGGCCACCAGTGTCTTGTTCCTGAACGAGCCAACCAACCAAACAGGCAGGCAGGCACATGCGATGAATGCAGCCAGCCAGCCCATGATGCATGCGTTCCCATCTGTCTGTCTGTGTGTCAGACAGTCAGTGTGGACACATGCATGCCATGCGTACGAGAAGGCAGGGGCGAGGGCCTTCCGGATGGCGTGCCAGCCTTCTCCGCTCGTCTTGCGCGAGAGGAGGCTCCGCGTCCGCGTCATCTGGCCTTCCCCGAACAGGTCGAGCAGCCGGTGCACGTGGGACTTCTCGAGGCCATCGGGTCCTAACAGTGTGTCCCAGCAGGACGTGTCGGTGCAGAAGTACATGCGCTTGTTGAGGGGCAGCTGCACGTAGAAGACATCGCTGTCGAGCTCGTCACGCCACTTCTCCTGCCTGACACTCACACACACACACGCCATGCATACGGTCAGTTGGCTGTGTGCACAAGTGTGATGCTGTTGGGATGCATCCATGCTGTCTTAGTACTTACAGGTGCGGGTCTTTCCCCGAGCGCAGCGCGTCAAATGCCTCCATGGGCGTGAGCTTCACTCGGGGCACCTCGCACAGCTTGGCCTTCTCCTCTGGGGTGACATGGCGCAGGACGTCCGGTCGGCCACCTGGCTTGCCATCGACGCTCGATGATGACGCATTGGCGGCCTTGTTGCGCAGGCGGAGTACCTCCTCGAGGCCGATAAGGCAGACAACGCCGGCGGTGGCGCCAGCCAGGAGGAGCAGGGACGATGGCTGCTCGAGATCTGCTGTCACCGGCATGATGGTGGGTGGGTTCCAGATCCGCTGGCTGATCTGAGAGAGAGGGGAAAGCATCAGATCTTTACATCTCAGCTCGCGATCTTTCTGCAGTGGGGCCAAGTGTGACGTGAGCGCATTCTCCATTGACTTGGACAGGTCGTCAACACACAGTCAGTTCAGTCATGTGGATGGTGTCTGTCAGTGTGTCTGTGAGATGCCCGACGGCCACCGCACACAGAGAGCGATCGTCACCCTCGCGTACTCGGCAGTCAGCACACCACCACACGCCGGACAAATAAGGGCGTATTCATCCATTGATGCGATAGTCACACACACACGCACACACCCAGACTCATCCCACTTTCCGCTGCTTGGATGGCGGCTCCTGACTCTGTGGACATACAGACAGACAGACAGACAGAGGTGTGTGTGTGTGTGCTGTCCGTCATCCATATGCATCCATCCATCCCCCCCCCGAGTGTATGCGGTAGGTATGTACCTGCATATACCCACATCTACACATCTTGAGTCCACCTGTCGGTCGACGGACACACACCGACACAGAGAGAGGGAGGGCATGAGATGCGAAGGGCATCGATGCATCCATGAGATGCGAGCAGCCTTGCTTACACCGAGGGCACTGGGGCATTTCGTGCAGCATCTGATCGCCGACAGACTCCTGCACACACACAACAGCCACACACACACACAACCAACCACAGGCATCCATGCCATGTACATACATGTGTCTGCGTGTGTGCACTGCACAGTCAGTGCTTATTTATTGAGTCCCTCCTCACCTCCATGGAGTAGTCGAGCACAGCTTTGGGCTGCGTCCTGGTGTAGGCGCGGCCGATGAACTCAGGGTTCTCCTCGACCTTCTCAGCGTACGCCCTCAGCACCTCAACAGGGTCCTCGTCCTTGATGGTGCTCTTGTTGATGCGCTGGGCGATGTACTGAGACAGCTTGTTCTCCTCGGCACCTGCCATGGTCGACGGCCTGACCACACACACACGGACGCGTCCAGTCATGTGGGTGGGGTGGGGTGGGGTGGGGTGGGGTGTGGGTGTCAGGCCGTTATTGTCTCACTTCTGCGGCATTTTGGTCTTCTGCTCGCGCTCGGCGTCTCTCGGTTTGACCCTGTAGATAGATGCACATATACACGTGAATGCATCGCATCCACGGCGTGTGTCAAGTCGGGTGTTCTGTGCTGTGTTGGTTTACTTGCGAAGGTGCCCGCTGCGGGTCTCTTTGAAGATCTTGGGCAGGTTATCGGCCTGTAGACAGACAGAGGCACGCACGAGGCACACAGACACAATAGACATACACACACTCATTGTATGCATCCATGTGTGTGTGCGCACCTGGAAGACGGGCTCGTTGAAGCCGACCATGTCGTCACGTCTTCACACACCACACACAGAGCACCGTATAGACACATCCATCCGTTTGCTATGTGCGAGTGTGTACCGTTTTGCCGGCGCCTTGGCAATGAAGAGCAGTGCGCCCTTCTGGCTGATGCTCGTGTCGTAGTTGAGGCGCACCGTGCCGTCAGTGTGGCCGCTCACCAGCTGGTTAATCTCGTCGTTCCAGACGGTGGTCGTGACGCCCACGTTGGCGAAGGTCAAGGACTGCACGCACTCGTATGTGCTGGACGAGTAGAACTGACACGCACATACACGAACACACAAACACACGAACACATGTGGGAGTGGAGTGCGTGCGGGGGAGTTTTGGCTCTGTGCTGACCGACCTTGATGAATCCGTCCTTGTTGCGCTTGTCGACGGATGTGCCCGTGAAGATCAGACTCTCGTCCGGCGACAGACCGACGTTCACCTAAACACACACATAAATGCACACATTCGCTTTGGAAGTGCGTGTCTGTTTTATTTCTGTGTGTGTGCATACCTTTGCTGCAGCGTTGACGTTGAGGAGGTTGCCCCACGTGTGCACAGGCGACTTGAGCTGACGCATGTCCCACACTGACATACACAGGCAGACAGACAGCACACAAATATTCACGTATGGGGGCACTCCTGTGTGTGCGTGTGGATGTGTTGGTGTGCGTCTCTGGAGGCGCGACGTACGCTTCATTGTGTCGTCCTGTGCGCGTGAGATGAGCCTGGTGTTGTCCTTTGTGAACTTGACACACGTCACCTCAGAAGCATGGGCGTCACGCACCACCTACAGCCGCCACACACATCCACACACACAGTGACCCACACACAACACAACACAACACCCGCAGGTGTGTGTTGCTTTGCCTACGTGGTCGGGCTTGCCGTATTTCTTCTTCTCGTTCCACACTTGGATGGAGCCGTCCACACAACCTAATGGACGGCACAAAGACAGACGGCGGGCTGATGGCTGTGCGTGTCAGTGAGTGTGGGGATGCTCATAGTATAGGTCACCTCCGACAATGGCTTTGGCCTCCGTGTTGGTGTAGGTGCAGCAGATGACGAAGCAGTTGCTGCGGGAAAGACACACACAGGGTGGGGTACATGTGAATAGGCATGTCCATCTACTCTGCGTGTGGTTGGTTGGTTGCCTGATGTTCATGTTTCGTTTGTCGATGGCCTTGAGGCAGTGCACCATCGGCAGTGCCTGGTCGATCCCGTACGCACGCGCATTCACATCCCATATCCTATGCCAGACACACGGAGAGAGAGGGAGAGAGAGAGAGATGAGTGGATGCCTCCACGAGTGTGTGTGTGTGTGTGTGCGTACCTGACGGTAGCGTCGTGTCCTGCGGTGATGAAAGTGTTCTTGTCGTTCGGGTGCCAATGGCAGTCGGTGATCATGTGCGTGTGGCCCCTGAAGACAGAGAGACACATATGGATGCACACAGGTGTCTGTGAGTGTCGACTATGGACACACCTGGTGTTGGCAGTGTCTCTGATGTACATGTCGCCCTTGACCGTTTTCTGCAACCACACACACACATATGCACACACCACAAACGTGTGTGTGGATATGCCTACACCCATGCATGCGCACGTACCTGCACTGGCTTCGCGTCAAGGTCGTAAATGCGACAAATGGCGTCACCTGATCAGACACACACACACAGAGACATTCAGACGCGTTGGTGGGCACACAGCAGACATACCGGCGGCACAGATGAAGTGCGACCCAGTGATCGAATACTCGATTGCCTGCACCACATCAACCAACGGTAAGCCACAAACCAAGAGATACGTGCACTTCCTCTCTATTCACGCCTCTCTCTCTCTGCGTGTGAGTGTCTGTCTTGCGCACCATGATGGTGTGTCCCTCGACGGGTTCGAACTGTCTGAATGAGCGCATGGCTGTCGTCATGCCGTTGAAGTCAAACAACCGCACTTGGTAGTCGAGCCCGCCGGTGATCATGCGGGAGCCTTTCGGATTCAGAGAAAGCGCGGACACCGTCTTGTTGTGTGCGGGCACCTCCACCTCATACGCACAGGGGATCCTCCCTCTCCCACCCCCACTCCCTCCACCACCACCCGGAGATGCACTCTCCCGCCCCATCATGGCACGGATCCTCGCCAGCTCCGCCTCAGATATGTCGTCGTCTTCAGCAGCATCACCGCCACCAGCAGCAACAGGATCTTCCTGATCTCCGTCATCGTCCGGCGGTGGTAGAGGTGTGGCGACGGCCGGCTGTTGCTGGTGCTCTGGTCGTCTGGCGACACCGAGCAGCGGCTTGGCTGACTTGGCTTTGGCCGATGAGCGGCCAAATGACACGGGGAACATCTGTCTGAAGACGTCATCGTCCTCTCCTTCTCCCTCTTGATCTAGCTCATCCATGTCGGCGTCATCTTCGTCTCGTTGCTGCTGCTGCTGCTCTTCTCGCCAGCTGGACTGATGCTGCCTGCTCGTGTCACCGAATGACAGCAGGCCTTTCCTCCTCTCCGATTGTGGCTGTTGCCGAGGGTGGTGAGCGGCCTGTTGCTGCTGCTGTTGTTGCTGCTGCTGTTGCTGCTGGCGTCTGTTTCTGTAGGCCTGGTATTGGCGCAGCTCACTGTGTGCGTCGTGTGTGTCGGCGTGCTGGACGTCCTCGGCTGCGCGCGATGTCTGGTAGCGAGAGGAGCCTCGCAGACGCTTCTGTGGGGACACGCGCAACGCACATAGACAGACAGAGATAGATCAGATGACACGCATGTCTTGCGAATGTGATCGTCTCTGACCAGTTCGTCCTCATCGCTGTCGATGCGCTCGTCGTCATCCGCCATGTTTGAACGACCTGTCTAAAATATTCTCTGCTACCTTCGCAATTCTTCTAGGGTTTAGGGTCCAGGGTTGGGGGGCCTTTGGGGGCTTTGCAAGCTCCAGAAAACAAACCGTCCCTCGCTTGCCTGAAAATGAGGGTGTTCGGCAGCAGGGGTCTGAGGTCCTCCCTTCTGCCGTTGGCCGCCGCATCGCTGCAGTGGCTGTGGATACTTACAAGTGAGCTGGATTAGAAAAACATTTGATGTGCGAGGGCCGTGTGTGTTCACGTGTGTGCTGTGTCTGTTTGCACTGAGTGGATGTTTGGCTGCAGGCCATGCCACAGAGTGGAGCGATGAATTCGGTGAGCACTCAGCGGGGAAGACACATTCCTTATACATGGGCACGTGTGTGTGTATGTGTGTGTGGGTCTAGCCAATCCTGCATCGGCTGAGTGTCAGTGCAATGGGACGATAACCGGCTGCCCAACCGAAGGCAGATACTTCCTGTAAGCAGGCAGACACACAAGTGAACAGAAACACACAGAGAGATGGACTCACATGCACACCCTGCAGGTACAATGACAGCTTTTCTCTGCATGGCTACACGCTGAATGCCTCCATCCCTGAGACAGACTTAGATGCGGTAAGGACACACTGCGTCCGCGCGTGTGTACGAGCGTCAGCCTTGTTTCTGTCTCTCTGTGCACTGTGCAGAGGCGGCATGAGTGCGCTGTGCTGTGTCTGGTACAGACACACACATACAGACAGACATGCACGTGCATCCATCCTGCTGTCCCGCACCACAGGCACACCCCGCATGTACAGGCTTCGAATACCGGGTAAGTAAGTACGGCAGACGACGAGCCGCTGTGCCCAAGCTATGTAATGGGTGTGTGCAGGTAGACAGCGAGCGTCGGTGTGAGGTGCATATGAGTTTCGCCAAGCTGCCGCCGCCCGAAGAGCGCAACTCGACCACGACCAAATGTGTCCGCAGAAAGGGAGGCGGTACGAAATGCAACGTCTGCACAGACAGGAGGGAGGGAAGAAAGCACGCATATAGATAGACACACGTGCATATAGATGGATGGATAACTGGATGGATGCAATGATTGATGGAACGCAGCGAATAAGATCGATCCAGCGGCGTGTCGCCTTGACAACGTGACGGAGCCGATCTTCTCTCTCGCCGACGTGAGCTCCTGGGACGACCCTCCATATAGCTCCGACCCCATCAACCCGCCCACGTTCGTCAGGCGGGCCCTCTGCTCAGAAGAGTGCATCAAAGACCGGTAACGAAGCAAGCAAGCAAGGAGGCAGACAGGCAGACAACGAAACAACCATATAAAATTGTGTGTGTGTGTAGGCGTTGCACGGGCATCGATTTCACCGCAGGCGGCACTGCGCCAGAGTGAAACGCCTATGATCCCTTTGACCTTTGACCTTCTCTATGCGCCGTGTGCTGTGTATGTCAGGTGCCGCCTACTCTATTCTCTGGTCAACTCGGGCGACCCCTCCTTCACTGACCGGGTGTGCTTCTACAAGAGTGGTCTGCCAGTGCCCGCACTCGAGCCCCCTGTGTTTTACCATTATGACGTGGCGATCATCACTCTCACCGTTTCATTTGGCGAGACCGTGTCGGCCGGCTTTGCACCGGCCAATGAGTCCTTCGCCACCAATGGGACTCTCACTGACATAAGGTATGCATTCATTATCACACACACACATAAGATGATCTGATCATGTGGGCGCATTTTGTGTGTGTGTGTAGGTCGGTTGCCGGAAATGACACGATTTACGAGGCCGTTATAGTGCCCGACGCGCCGCCCGTCGGCAGCAGCGACAACATCACCTTCATGCAGCTGACCGTGATGCATGGAATCGTCATGGATGACTTCGAGAACCCCAACCCCAACACCAACCTCTCATTCGCACGCGGTTAGCGAACCACGTGTGCGCAGCAACGGATCTGTGTGAGTGCGTCTCCTTCCCTCTCTTGGTCTGCGTGCTGCGTGTTGCGGCATACAGGTCCTCTCTTCAACGCGTTTCTCTCCTCGCCGCAGTCGGCGTGGCAGTCGGCGCCGGTGGAGCTGACTGTGACATTTGACAGAGACATCGGTGTGTTTGACCCGGCCGGGTTCTCCTTCTGGGCTCACTCCTTCGATCTCTCGGCCAGCGGCAGTGTGAGCGTGTCGAATGTGCGGCTGCAGCCAAACAGCGCGACAGTGGACATCCTGCCCTCGATTGAAGGGAAGGTCAAGATATGGTTCCTCTCCGGCTTTGCGTTCGACGCATACATCCCCGGCCGCAGCAGCTACGTCTCGCCAATGCTCGAGCTCGACTTCGGTCAAAACACACTTTTGTCCTATGCATCCGTCCCATCTCTCTCCGTGTCTGTGTGTGGTCAGTGTACCCCTTCAACGTCACTCTGTCGAGTGCCAAGTCGCTGTGGGAATCGCTGCCCATCGAGCTGGCCATCGCCTTCGACAAACCCGTCAGTGACGCCGACTTCTCTCTGGCTGACCTGGTGCTCTCCCTCGACCCTTATGACCCCGGCTTCGGCGGCTCGGTGAACGTCATCGCATCCAACCTCCGCAGAACGCCCGCATCGGGTCCGTTCACCCATGCGTTGGTGGACCTGGAGCCGACAGTTGATGGCAACGTCACTGTGGTGCTGCCATTTGACACTGTCTCGGATGCTGACCGGCCCATCAGAGGCAACAACCCCGCACAACTCGTCCTCGAATACAGTCAGAAGGAGGAAAAGAGAGAGAGAAGGGGGAAAGGCTGTCACAGAAATTTGTGTTGGTGTGTGTGTGTTGCAGGGACGCCTGTGCCGACGGCAGTGCTGTACATTGAAGGCGCCAGCAGCAACACCACGGCGGCCTACCCCATCTCAGTCAACGTCACTTTCAGCAAAAAGGTCACCATCGACGACATCGCCAAGCTGGAGCTCGTCAACAGCCAGCTGGTCGGCAGCGGGCCAGGTGCCATCACACGCGTGAGCGACAACTCGTTTTATTTCGCCGTCGAGCCGACGGGCGAGACAGTGACCATTACAGCTGGCCAGGGGCTGGCTGTCGACGACGTCAGTCAGCCCAACAACCGCTCTCTGCCTCTTGTCGTCACATTCGGTGAGAGGAGGGAGAGAGATACGAGCATGCGCAGCTGAATAAACTCCTGGCTGCCTGCAGATTACATCAACTCTCTCGCCGCGCTCGACTGGGTCACGAATGTCACTCTGTCGATGGCAAACACGCTCTTCAACACAGCCTCCTTCCAAGTGACACTCACCTTCAGCAAAGCCATCGTGGACACCGACTTCTCAACGAAGTTTCTTATCGACAGCTCACCTGGTACTCCCAAAAAAGACAGACACATTCGCGCCGACATCTGAGCGTGCTGATTGCAGTGACGGCAATGAGTCTTCAGCGTCTGGGTGCGACTGAGTACACGGCGACATTGGCTGTCCCTGCGAGCAAGGGCGACGGCGATGTGATGGCCGTTGAGTTGGATGAGCGGGCAGTGACGGACACGGACGGGCTCACCAACCGTGCGTCCAACACTCTCAGTGTCGAATATGGTACGTGTGTCTCCGGGAAGCAGGACACATGCAGGGTGACCCACATTTGTGCATTCCAGATCCAATGCCGCCTGACATCACGATATCTTCCTCCTCTGCTCCCGCCACGAGACACCAGGACTTCTTTGTCGATGTCGCAGTCTCAGAGGTGCGATGGATATGACATGAATGGGCATGCTGATATCAAGACGCACACATCTGTATGTCTCTGTCTCCGTGCATGCAGGTGGTGCAGCCGTTCACGACCAGCATATTCACTGTCGTGAACGCGGCGATAGTGTCGATGGCCGACAACCCGTCGCAGGCCAACGCCAAGATTCTGGAGGTGCGGGCGGCCACTGAAGGCACAGTCACCATCACAGTCGAGGTTGGACAAGTCGCTGATATTGTCGGCAACACCAACCACAGGATATCCACGCTCAGCCTCGAATATGGTGAACATGTTCTGCAGCCCGTGTGTCTCGCTTTCACACGGGAGAATCTGGGTATGTATCTGTGCGTGCATTTGTGTGCAGATATCACCCCGCCATCTCTGGTCTTCAATCCGGCATCTGTGTCTGCGACTGAGGAGGCCGTCGGCGTGTCGGTCACATCGAGTGAGGCATCAGACGTCTTCTGCCAGCCGCTGAAGCCAGCTGACATCGCCACATACACCGGTAGGTCGGCGTCTTTTGCTCGCCCGTGTGGACATGTGGAGACGTGTGATTGTGCAGCGTCGGACTTCGACTTGATCAATGTGCCGCCGGCTACAAGCATCTCGCCAAAGCAGGAGAGGCGGGCAGTGGGGCCTGCAGCCTTCGCTGGCGCCTTTTCCTTCTCCGCACTGGTGCCTGACACGACCCACAATATATCATGCATTGCGATCGATGTTGCCGGCAACGTGATGGACAAGGCAGCCGCACTCACCGTCAAGACAACAGGTCCATACATATGAAGCGTACACATCCATACGAGCGTCTCTCTCCGTTTTATGCAGCTATTATTCCGCCGCGTGTGCTGGTGCCCAATAGCAACGACACGGTTGTCATCACCAACGACAGGCATCTGCTCACTCTGCACTTCTCCGAAGCAGTGCGGGACATCAACACGGCCAATATCGTGGTGAGTGGGTCGCTTGGCCACCATGGATATGATGAATGAGAGTGCAGGTGTCCAACGCGGCTTTGATCGACAGCAGCATTCGCGAGCAGCTGTATCTGGATCTGGTGCTGGAGGTCTCCACACAAGGGCCTGTGAGCGTCACGCTTAACGAGGGCGCCGTGAGGGACTCATACGGCTCAAAGAATATCTTTTACACATATACTGGCCTCTTCTACGGTAGAAGCACAGAAAGGGAGAGAAACCCGCGTGCATTGAATATGTGGCTGCGTTGCAGACATAGACGAGTGTGCGACGGGCGGCCACAACTGCTCCGACACGTGCCACAACACACTTGGAGGCTTCATCTGCCACTGCCCAGCCAGCGCCCGGCTTCAGACGGACATGGCAACGTGCCTCGGTCGGTAACTCGTCAGTGAGAAAGCATATGTGCCGACGCATACACATGTTCATCTGTGTCTCTCCCTCGCTGGAACAGTGCAAGCATCGATCCAATCGGTGGATGTGTCACGCGCGCCACATACGGGAATACAGCTGTCGGTCGCTCTCACGGGCAGCCGGCTCAGCCCAACCGACGAGCTGATTCTATTCCCCCTCACCACAGCCACCCCACAAGCGCACTCATCCTCTCTGCTGCAACTGATAAGCACGAACGCAGTCGACACATTCTACCTGCTGCCATGCGCCGGCGACACAAACACGACCACGACACTCTCATGCGGTCCGATGGAATACGCCACCCCGCACGGCTACATTGTCGCTCTCTGCCACGAAGAGTGGATCCCCCTCTCGCCGAACACTCTCCTGCAGCAGAGGTACACGCAGCTGGCGGCAACGCCGGACGCCGTGCTGGCGGGTCAGCTCTCCATCGATGGTGGGGAGGTGTCCGGCTCTGCGGCGTGTCAGAGCCTGACCTATCTGATGGACAGCGATCCGTCGGCATTTGTCGAGGAGATTGTGGTCCCTGGCACACAGCCGCTGGCCAGTGCATCAGGTGGGTGGGTGGGTACTTTCTCATGTCAGTGCACAAAGATCGAGACTGAAATATGTGTGCGTGTGTGGTAACACAGAGCCACTCTCGGTCGTCAGCTTTTCCCCGACCACACTCAACGAGGCCGAATTGCAGACGATCAACATTTTGGCAGATGCCTTCGACGTCGGCAGAGACCGCTTCAAGATAGCGACATGCGGCGAATGCGCCACCTCAGAGGGCTTCGGCCTGACATGTGACTCATCGCTGGTGTGCATCACGGTGGTGCACAGGATCGCCCCCGAGCTTTGTCTGTGCAAATGCGACGCCTCTCTCACACTCGACGGCGACTGTCTCGCCGACCACAGTTTCTCTCCCGCACATGCAGCCAATTTCACCATCGTCCCACGTACGTACACATTGATGACTCGATACACGTGATGTACGTGACCTGCCTGTGTGGGGCATTTCAGAGAGCGTGTTTGTGTCGGCGGTCGAGTACGTGGAGCAGAGACACCCCCCACAGACGGGCAGCTCCCTGCAGCTGACAGTGAGGGGCCACCACCTCGACCCAAGCAGAGACAGGCTCGCGCTGGTGCCAAGCGAAGGAGACGACTTCACATGCGGGGGCGATCAGCAGCCATCGACACTGACTTCACTAATAGTCCACTGCTCATGGTTCACGGAGCACCTTGTGTGCGACAATATGACACTTCCCCACGCAGGCAGCTTCAAGGCATGTCTGTGCGACGGCACACAGCAGGGGTCATGTTTGGGAAGCGCAGACTTCTCGATCGAGCCGGCTGTGGACTCTGTCTTACAAACTTACTCTGGTGTGTGTCGCACGAATGGCATACGCACGACAGAAACACTCATGTCTCTGTCTTTGTTTGCCTGTCTGTTGCCTGTTGCCATTAGGTATGGTGTGTGGACAGGCATGCGTCACAGCTACTGAGTGTGAGACATTCACGCAGTCTCAGCCCAGCTGCGTAAGCGACGACGATTGGTCGTCCGCATGCTGATACAATCCAGCTTTCCTCTCCCCCCTTTCTTTATGCCTGCAGGGACCTCGCTGCGGGAACGGCGTCGTCGAAGCCTCAGAGGATTGTGATGATGGTGAAGTAAAAATCAAAAAGGTCGCTCAAGCTTTGCCTTGTATTTTTGTGACGCTTTGCAGGCAACAATCTCTCCCAGGATGGATGCGACAGCCGCTGCAAGACTGAGAGCGGTGACGCTCTGTATCCCCTGCCCCGACTGATCAGCGCCGAGACTTCCTACTCGCCCGCCACAGCCACCGTCTGCTTCGAGGCGCCCCTTCCCGCACCATTCGACCGAGACCTATGCTCGTCTGTCGACAATATAGGCGTCTTCGGCTCAAAGACGCAGTGCGTGTGGGCCACCCCGGACAAGCGGTGCATTCTGATTATCTCGGGGGGCCATGACGCCACGATTAAACACAACCATGGCTCGATCAAGTCGGCCCTCAGATCGTTCGACGCCGTGCACTTTGAAGCGGGCGCGTCGATGGACACATTGGTGCCGACATCGAGGGTGGTGGCTGCAGACAGTATGTCGCTGTGCTCTGGGTCAAGTGAGCCTCTGCGGATTGACATATACACAGGGGGCAGCGGCGGGCGGCGGGTCTTGTACATGTTCAGCAGCGACATCCCCGAGCTGGCAAACACACTCAACCAAAACTCAGGCAAGCCAACCACACGTCATCGTCACACTCACGTAATGAGTGGTGTCTCGTGTGCACACAGGCTGGTGGCCGGCAGCCACCACAATCGAGGTCCCTCACTCCGTCCTCTCGCAAATACATGAGGCTGGTGAAGACACATTGACATCGACCATATCGGCAGAGAACTATCTCGGCATCTCGACAAAGCAGACAGTGGCAGTGGGGCTCATGAAGGATGTCTGCTGCGAGATGCCTACTCTGAGGACGACACGCACCACACTGTCATTTTCCCCGACGGGCCAGATGCGATTGCGGGCATATCCACACTCACACGGAAATGGCAACCCGGAATCAATCGCGGGGGTCACCTGGAGGGCGCACTCACGCACTGCGCCGTGGACGGTGATCGATCTGACGGGCCAAGACATGTCTCGGGACAAACTTACTGTGCGAGTTGACACCAACGATGTCTTCAGCAGCCGCGAGGAATTCATTGGCCGGGTGTTCGATGTGTATGCTAACATCTCTACAACGACAGGCTGTGAAAGACGCGCCAGTTTCGAGGTCAAGATCGACAAATACGGCGCTCCTGATCTTCATCTTCATCTCCAGCCACCTCTGACAGTCGCCCTATCTGCAGCCAGCAGCCGGCCACTTGTTACCGAATGGTTCTGTGTGTGGACACCTCTCAGCGGCAGCAGCCCCTTCGCCGTGTCGTCCACCCGATCGATGCCCTTCCATTCGGCACCCGAGCTGCTGCTGCGATCGCTGAGGCATGACGCGCCCATCCACGACTGTCTTGACCGCTCTTTGCTGGCAAGCGGCTCTTCTGTGGTGCCCCTCGATCCCACTGGCACTGCGGACGGGACATTCACCCTCGATATGGGGAGTGTCGCAGACGGCGTGTATGTGTTTGCCGTCGAGGCGAGCCAGGAAATGGGCGAGGGCGCTGTGGTCGGTGGCGCAGTGACAGTGTCGTCTTCTGGCAATGAAGTCTCTTTCCGGCACATTGACAGGAGCATCGAAATGCCATTGTCGTCTCACGCTGTGGATCTGGGGACGAGTGCCCCCACCACACTGACGCCTTTGGTGTCTTACGGCCGCGTACAAGCAGAGGAGGTCTTTGCCGAGGAGATATCGCTGGCCAACGGGAGCGTCCCCGCCGGCACGCTGCACCCCGGATGGATCTACCACGCTCAGACCGACGACTGGCACACAAACATACGCGCCACGCTGTTCCCCTTCGCTGGGTCGTTGCGCGCCGATCCGCGTTCTGGCGGTGTGGTCATGGTCGAGCAATATGGTTGGGAAGTTGATCCAGCTGCAAAGGAAACCGGAAGAGAGACATACACCCTCTATCTGACGGACTCTTACCCAATCACGGCTGAGACACGGATACAGACGCTCTCGTTCAATCGCTTGGAGCCTTCTCTGCTCGTCTATGTGAACAAAGGCGACTACTTTGTACATTCGAAGCTCACGGACGCGCTTGGGTCGACCTGCTTCCTGGAGTGTGTGGGAGACGCGGATCTTGATTGGTCGGCGACATCGCTGTGTGACCCTGGGTGGGACAGACATCGGCCGACGATATGTCCGTTTGTGCGGGTGAAGGTTGTTGAGGGCATTGCGACGCTGGCAGACATCATGGGCCTGCTGGACGCGATGAGACACACTGATGTAGGGGACAGAGAAAGAGAGAGCCCTCTCACGTATCTCTCTCCCTATGTATGTCTGTGTATGGATGGCAGGATTCAGCAGAGATAGCCTCGGCTGTCATCGCCGCATGTGACACCCTCTCCTCTCTCGGCCAGCAGGCCGTCTCGCCATCCCTCCTCAACGACATGCTCGACTTCCTCACGGCCATGTCGAAGGCCACACACCCAGCAAACAGGGAGGAAGATCAAATACTGGTCGGCGAGGCGGCCGAGCGGCTTGCCATCCTAGCAGGCGAGAGCAGCTACACCCTCAGTGCTCATGAGCTTGTCACGTTTCTGACCAAGCTGACTCGACTGATTCAGCCGACCAACAAGAGGAGCGCTGCACTCTTGCTGCGGATCCTGCCGGCGGTGATGGGTGCGTTGGCGAGGGAGGGGGTCTTCCCCGATGACAATGAGGGCAGTACTGCAGACAACAGCAACGCGACTCAGGCTGTGGCCAGAGATGCGTTGGCTCTGATGGTGAGTGATGGGATGAAACCCCAAATATGCGGTGGATGTGAATAAGTGCTTGTATCACGTGGATGCTGCAGGAAGATGTGTACGAAAATGTGACGGCGCTGGCGTATCGATACTCCCTGCCAGTGTGGTACATGCAGCACCAGTTCTCCATCTACATGCGGCAGTACACCGACGACGACATGAGACACGGCGTCGATAGGGTGGGCGTTTGAGGAACAGAGACAGCGCACACGCACACACAAGAGCGATGCCTGTCCATGTCTCTCTCGCTGTTTAGGGGCGTGTTGCCATCCCCCGGCTGCCCATCGACGCCCTCCGAAAATCGTACGCATACACACATGCACATACACATACACAAAAGCAATCTTCATTCATTCATTCATGCATGCAGATGCACCAAGTTGCAGAGGCTGCCCAATCCGCCAGATTGCTCCAATGTCCCCCACAACATGCACATGACGCTCGTTCAATTCCCGGCCAACCCCCTGCTGGTCAAACACAACCCAGCCAATGTCTCTGTGATCAGCGAGACCCTCACCGTCGACCTCTGGATTGACGTTATACGGGTGCCTCGTGTGAATGTGACTGCTGATGCGCCTGTAATGGTGTCGTTTACTCTACCTGCGGGAACGCCGAGGGGCCGAGCCTTCTGCATGTACTTTGACGAGGGCAGCCAGACGTACGTGGACGCCGGATGCCGAGTGACAGCCACAACATGGGTACGCATACCTGTATCGGTCAGAGTCAGATACTTGGGTGTGTGTGCAGGTGGTGCAGTGTGCTTGTACGCACATGTCCTCGTTCACGGCGGCGATCGAGGCGCTGGTGCCTTTACCGGCAGAAGAGGAGGACGAGTCGCCGCCGGCATTTGACACCACCCTGCTGCTTAACATGCTGCTCGCCGGTACGTATACATGACTGAATGGGTGTGCGTCCATGCAACACCTCTGTGTGTGTGTGTGTGTGTGTGTGTCTCTCAGGGAACATCGGGTTTTGGTGGCTACAAAACAGGACTGATATGTGTGTATGCATTGACATTACATATGAACACGATGTCTTTCAGGTTCACCATCGCGACTACGATGCTCTACAAGTTCCCTGTTCTCTCTTTGTGGCTGCGGGTGAGCGAGATTGCACCTCCGTGTCCATGCTCGATCATATGTCTCCGTGTGTGTGTTCAGGATCGTGTCGACTGGGCTCCCGTCGAGGACCGGCTCAAATTCTTCTTCCGTGACCGGTATCCATGTTGGTCCAGACGTCGGTCCGTCTCCCTGCAGATGCAACAGTCTTTTGCATGGATGCAGATGGGAAAGGACTAACTACGACGTCCCCATCTGTATCTGCATACCCTTCATGAGAATTCTGGTAGGCACACACGGACACAGAGAGCGCGCATCCTGTCACGTGTATGTCATGAGTAGGGCTGTCTGTCCGTTGGTCCGATCTACCTGAGCCGTCGGCGAGCGATTCTCTTCCCCCTGCTGCCTCTGTTCCTCATGTGGAGCCTGCTCAAGTGGCTGGCCAGGGGCTGCCGACACGCAAAGCGCAAAGAGAGAGACGCACAATCGCCAAACGATCCTGTACACACACAGACCCATAGGCAGGCAGCAAGCGCATCTGTAAATATTCTTCGTCATGTGACATTACGCATGCAGGTGTTTGAGCATCGGCGCAGGAAGCGCCAGTCGCATTACAGGGATGACTACGAGAGCGCGGCGTGGCAGTGGGACGTGTGGGACGATGAACTGCAGACCAACGACACTGGCGGACACGGTGAGTGACGAATCGACCGGTCTTTTCCTGTGCCCAGACGAGCGTGTGTCTGTGTCTCTTGACGCAGACGGTAGGATGATAGCCGCGGCCATCCAAGCAGAGCCGGAGTGGTCCTCAATAATCGACCAGGCAGGCATTCAGCCACATATACACGCCTGCACGCCTCTCTTGGTCGGTGAACTGGTGGGCTGGTGGATGGGTGGGTCAATATATGCAGGATTTGGAGATGCACGTGGCTCAGTCGGCGTCGATGAAGCCGAGCATGCAGCGGTGGCAGTCGGACGAGATTAAAAGAATGCGGTCCATGATGACGTTCGACGACAACAGAAGCGGCTGTGGACTCGAACCCATTCACGTACGGAAACACATCAAAGTCATTCACACACGCACATACACGTCGATCCGCAATGCAGGAGGGAATCGGCGAAGACCCTGAGCAGCAGCAGCAGCAGGTTGAGGTGCGTACACAGACATGGTCGCGCTGCAGGTAAGAAACGTATCTGTATGTCCATCTGTGCAGGAGTCCGGCGAGCAGCAGCATCTCCCTCGGTCCAAGAAGAGCGTCTTCATGCACCGATTCACCAACATGCAGAAGCAGCTCGCCGCATCACTCGCTACCGTGCGCTCTTGCAGGTGTGCATCCATCCCACACAAAACGCAAACACGCGTGCGTACTTGGTTGTATGTGGCTGCCGCACCCATGGACCAACAGAGACAGGAAGGCCTTGCGAGAGAAGAAGGCTGTCAGGCCCTTCGAGCTGCACGTGCTCAAGGAGATAGAGATGCAGAAGTACGGCAAGATTGCCGATCGGCTGCAGCACACGCACGAGGGCACGAGACGCCAAAGGTTCCTCATGAGCAAGCAGCAGAAAGAGCAGGAGCGCCTCGAGCAGCTCGACATGCTCCTCACACAAGCGCAGATCGACCTCAACCTCGCCACGACACACAACACCGAGTCCCAGAGGCGAGAGCATGCCCAGAAGAAGGAGCACGTGAGGCTGCAGAAGCTCATCGAAGAGGAAACATCCCTCCCGCCGCCCGCGGCCGTCAGCGTGCAGGTGGTTTCTGGCCTGGAGGAAGACCTCAGAGACGTCGACCTTCGCGCAATCGCCAGTAGACACGTCCGGGAGACACCAGGTACACATAAACAGATGAGTGCGGATGCATCGACATATGTCTGTGTGTCGTGTGTTAGGCGGTGAGGGAGAGAAGAGTCACCCGAGAGACCTGCACGAGTACCAGCGAGCGGAGGCATTCTACATGTGGGTGTCAGCAAGCGGCCGCGACCTCTGTCTACACCCCGCTTCACACTTCAGAGAGAGAAAGGTAGCTCCCAAACTCAGTTGGATACACACGAACACACAAGAATTGTGTGCGTTGGATGTGTCTCTCTCAGTGGAGAGGTTGGGTAGACTGGAGTGGGCCCCTGAAAGTGATTGACATTGACACCATTGAGATGATCCTGCAGGAGGATGGTGATGGAACCATCACTGAAGAGATCGAGGGGAATGGAGAGGCGGCATACAATCAACGGTCGCCGCCCATCATTGCCCTTTACGGCCGGGAGCCATTGACTCAGAAACAGCACATGTATGTGCGCCACAGACGTGCGGAAGCCCACACACAAGCGATCGGGTAGATATGTGCGTCTTGGTCTACACGCAGGATTCTAAAGCTGAGACCCACCAATATGGAACAAGACCAAGACACCCAAACACACGACGAGACCAATGACGCCGAGCCGAGGCGATCGTCCAAAGTGCGTTTCCATGCGTTCGTACCTTCATCCATCCCCCATACACACTGACGACTGTGTCTCTTCCATGCAGATTCCCATCTGGTTGAAGCTTTACGACTTCTTCGATCTCGCCCCGCCCCACGTCAAGAAAGACGAGCACGTGCAGACGGTGCCCAGCGGCATGACCGCTCTCGAGCGCTTCCTCTTCGCGGCCAAGCACTCGCGCGAGAGCGCCATGAAGGCGTGGAAGGAGCTGTCACTGAGCGGCGGGCAGCAGGTGGAGAGGCGGCCGGAGCAGCAGACGAGCTGGTTCACTTACGAGGGACCTCTCCCTTGCTCGGCGTGCTTCTGTAAGCCTGTCCATCTGTCAACGGTGAAAAGGCTTGACACCCTTTCTGCTGCTCTGCTGCCTTCAGGTCTTGTCAACGGCAAGCCAGCACATCTCTGGTGGACACATGACGGCTTGGTTAGTGACACTCACAAGGACACAAAGGATGCGTGACATCCATTTGTGTGTGTGTGTCGGCACAGGTGCTCAACACAGAGAAGGTGGATGCATCGGAGCTGCTGCCTGGCCCAGAGGGGGAAGAGGGACATGCAGAGACACAGGGAGAAGAAAGGAGAGAGTTGATCCACGGCCACTTCCTTGAAGACATTGTCGATGTCAGCGAGCAAGCCGGCAATGTGCACCTGACCTTCAAGGACCAGGCCGAGATGACGGTGAGTGGACAGGCACACACACGAAGGGCGATCATGTCTCACTGGTGTGGTCTCATTCTTGCGTTGCATCTTCTGGCCGGTCAGATCACCTTCCTGGACGCCCTGTCAGCTGATGGCTTTGCCCGGCTCGTCCGACACCTGCAGAAAGTGGTCTCTGCATGCACAATTACGTCAAGCATGTCCACGTGTACATTGGCTGATTTCCTGCAGGTGTTGCAAGCCCTGACAGCCGCGCCAGCTGACGCATCGACCAATGCAGGCGATGTCACCCATAGGTCGGCCGTCACGTCGATCGTCACCGCCACACCGAGAATGCTGGAGCCTCCCGAGCCGTACGTGGCGCAAAATCTGCAGGTGCGAGAATACGCATGTGTCCAGCGTGACAGAGAGCAGGGTTGGCTGTGTGTCAGGCTGAGGCGATTGCAGGTCGGTTGCGATATCAGCGGTGGAAGAATCGGAAGATATTTGACCACGTCGTGAGGCGAGATCACCCCCTGCTTTCCGTGTACGTACGGAAGAGACACGATCATAAGAGAACAGAACAGACACAGTGTGTATCGATTCAGGCTTGCGTATGATCCCTTCATCACGCGTGCGCAGCGGTTTGCTGTGCTGGAGGCTTCGCTGATCGGCATCCTGCTGTGGGCGTCGCTCTTCTACAGGAATGAGTGCTCACTGGCGAAAGAGGTGGGATACCCATGTCTCCACGTGTATGATTGGGTGTACATGTCTGTATGTGTGTGTGTGAGTTTGGCTGGCAGATCGATGACTATCACACCCACCTGACCAATCTGTGCTCGACGCCGTCAGTCTCCTACATGTACGTGAGGCCCAGACACACACAGCCAATACCCGCACAACGCTTCCGTGTGTGCCGGTATGCACTGTGCAGGCCGAGTGTCGAGTCAATACTCGTCAGTCTGCGGTCGACGGCCCTCTCCCTGCTCGTACCAACTATCCTCTACGGGCTTTTCTCCAAATTTATCATCGAGGTAAGCCACCCACACAACGGTAAGAGACACACGAGTCATATACGGAGGGTTTGGTACATGCACCCACAGGATTTGCTGCTGCCGGCTGAGAAGTCGTTCCAAATGCGTAGTTGGGAAATGATGGACATCGCTGGATGGACACTGTGGACCACGTGGAATATCTCGTGTGTTGTGTGGCTCATCATCTTTGTCATGGTAAGAGCGAGTATATGCAGACATGAATGGAGGGAAAGAAAACGGGAGTGTTTGTGTGCTGACAATGTGTGTCTCATTTGTACAGGGTGTGGACGATGGCCTGATGGGCCAGTGGATATGGGCGTCGTCACTTGGGCTCGCATACAGGCAAATGCACACGGGACACACACTCACCCTCACACATGTGCATCCATGTCTCTCTTGTTCCATCAATGCGTCAATTTCAGGCTTGTGTTGATCCCTGGGCTGAGCATCCTGTGCGTCACGGCCATCCTGATCCTCACCAAATACATCTCTGTGTTGGACCCCATCATCCTGCTGGTGCCCTCTCTCGTAGACTTCCCGCACTCCAGCAGACGTAGAAGGCGAAAGCAGCTCCCCACGCCCGACTATGTACGCATCGATTCCCCACCCACAGACGCAACACACGTATATGCGCTCCCGCGTGTTCGCAGATCGAGCACAAGAAAGATGACCTCGAGCATGGCGAGCAGCAGGATCCACTGGTCAACGACTCCCCATTGAGTCAGGAGAGCCCTTCTCTCGGATCATCCGAGCAGGAAGAGTTGCATGGCGTAGTGAGGCCGGCAGATCACACAAGGCTCTCGCCGACCACACACGGCAGACGGCCGTCCAACACAGATAGGCGCCAGTCGGACAGCGCACGGGTGTCAGTGCGCAGCTCGCTGGGCGAAATATGATCTGGAGTAGCTGCATCCGTGTCGGTAGCGTTTGGTACCCAGGTAGATACACGATAGCGGGAGAGAGAGGTACAGACAACTGGATGAGTGTAGTCAGCCGGGAGTTCATTTGCGTTCATGGTTTCACAATGTGGTAGACACTATTTCGCACTCCTGATGCAGTCCAGCGGTTGTTGATAAGCAACTATGTGTGTGTCTTCATGTCCAATCGAGTCACTGATAGCAGACAATGGCCTGATGCTGAAAACGCACATACTAGAAAGGATGTCTATTTGCATCGCAAAAGACGCCCGGCAGCACTCGCCCTGCTCGGCCCTTCCGCTTGCTACCTCGACACCAAGCGTGTTTCGGAGCTCGCGGCAAAAGTCGCGCAGATCTTCGATGATTGCGCCAGCTGCCTGTCGAGCTGTCGGTCTGATAAGTGCATGAGGTCTGATAAGCTCATGCAATCCATGTCTCTCTCTACTACTCTCTACGAGTGCGCTTACACTATATGTACACGGGCACTTAGGGCAGCACCTGTTCCAGAGTGTCTGGCACCAAGTTGGACAACACTTGGCGCACATAGGGCAGCACGTCCGTGTGGTGGTGGCGGTGGGAGGGGCAGCACGTCCGTGTCGGTTGCGGCATGGACACTGGCAGGTCAAAGCAGGGCAGCGACAGCAGTCGGCCGGCCGGTTGTCCCATGCCTGGGCGGTCGCTCGTCCCCCGCGGCAGAGGATTGTCTCTCCTCGAGTGAAAGGCTGCACAAAGGACATACATACAGCATGTATGTCTGCTTGAGTCTCTCCCGTGCAATCGAGTCTATGCCCACCTATTCTGCATTTGTTGAAGTCCCGCCTCAGGTGGTGTGGGGGGCGAGACATGATCGGCCCTGCCGGCATTGGGCAGCGACCGCCACCATTCCTCCGTGTCGTCGTTGTCCATGGAGAATGGCACCTCACTCAAATGCACCCGCATCTGTGTGAGTGTGTGTGTGGCTGTCTGTCGGTGTGAGTAGGTCTGTTGGGTTTTCCCGACCTAATGCACTGCTGGCATAAACGACACACACATGAGTGAGCAGAGATAATAATGCGTCAGAGGGAGGCCTGAAAGCAGAATAATGAGCAAGTGTTCGAGTGTTCAGGTAACATTTCTCTTTTCTACGCGACTTACGGAAGGTAAGCAAACACATGACAATCCCACAGCCTATCCGTCCACCAGGTACTGCAAGCAGACGTCATAGTTAAAGGCCGCCAATTCTACAACGGACAAAATACAAACACATGCTAACATATGTTCTTTGTCATCCCTGTTGTTAGCTTAACGCGGCACTCACACTGATATCGGATACACCAATCTCTTTGTTGGGTCTGTCTCGTGTCTGAATGAGTTGTGTTTGTCTTCGCTGTTGTTGTGTCGATATGGCTCCTAAAAACTCTCCACTTCGGATTCTATAATCCGCGTCTCGTAACAGATGCAGCATAATTTGAGCCTCATGTGTGCATTAGAGTTTCGAGCGATCTCACTTGTAGAACACCTCTTCATCTTCGATGGCGGCGAGCCCTTCACGAAGCTGCAGAAAAGATGAGAAGATCGATTGAAATATGGTGAGGCAGAATATAATACGACGACTGACAATATGAGAGATGTTCTCGCGCAGCTAAAAAAGTCGGTCGTATCGCTCTTGATCAAATTCGGTCTGAAAAATGATGTGCGCGCCCTTCTCAGGAGGCCCTTCTCAGGAGGCAGGGCCATATCAATGAGCCACTCGCCTCCTCGAGAAAGGGCCAACCTCATGTCTTCGAGCACTCCAAGCCCCCTGAGCAGAAAGATGATATGTGAATGTGCCAGCACCGTCTCAGATTCCTTACGCTGCGCGCAAATGAAGAAGTCTTGTCGTACATCAATCCTTTCTTAGGGTCCGCACGCCTGAAAAATAAAGCTCAGAAGCCGTATGAGAACCCTTTCTTCAGCCTGATGGCTGATCAAGGCGATGAAGGCACCACAGCCAAAGCCAAAGCCGAGAGACATTCCCACTGTCGCGCTGACGTCCTTTGGTTTGTCAGTTGACGCTCTATGAAAGGTAGATAAACACAGCTTCATGGCCATTTTGTGTGTCCACGGCATATATACCTCAGCTGCTGCATAAGCCTTGCGATTGTCTCATCATTTTCGCAATCTTCGTGTCTGCCACCGGATGGAGACACAAACACAGATTCGAGACATCCCGGTATTGTGGGATTCATTGCTCGCTCACGTGTCTGTCGCATGCCCCTCGCGGCCACTGCAGCGGACCACAGGAGGCGCGCCCTTGTCCTCAAGATTGACCTTCTGCAGGGAGAGCGAACCTCGAAGGAGGCGAGACACAGCGGCAGCGCTTTCTTTACTGAGATGATTCCCTGTCAAAACAAGGGACGCACACATATCTCTGTTTTGCATGTCTCTGTCAGCGATTTGTCAGTGCTGACTGACCTGATAGCGACGCCCGCGTCCAATTGAGTTTGCAGCTGCCCAAATCTGCATACAAATCTGAGACAACCGCAACCACCGAAAGGCGATTTTGAACGGCTTTGAGGCGGCCGAGATCCACAGACGGCTGGGAAGCAATTGCTGGGAAGCCAAGCGTCATTGTTTCTTGTCTTCTCACCATGGTCCTTTCACACTCACACCCAACATCTGGCTGGCAGTTGACCGAAAAAGGGCACTCATGCATGGATTCGTTCACCTCTTTGTCATCTCTCCCTGATTCCTTCCCAACACACACACGCCACCTATCGACACTCACTTCTCACGTGCACGCAATAAGGTATGCATCATGACGCATGTATCGCATGGGGAGGGACATGGACGAATGCAGCCAAAACCGACCAACAAAACACATGCAGCAAAGGCCAAAAAGCTTGCTGGCGCTTCTCTCTCCCCCCTTCTGCGTCTGCTCTCCCCTCGTCCGTCCATCAGGACACTGCAAACTAAATTAAGGAAGGCGATCTCCCTTGTGCTGGTACTTCGTTCGTCAGTCAACCAACCAGTCTCCCTTTCCCCCCCTCTCGCCATCAACACCGGTCGCATTGTTGGTCCCCTTGTCACAGAAGAAGTCGCTCCCCCCCATGGCGGCCAGCTTGCTCTCCATCCCAGATGTGATTTCTTTCGCCATCGTCTGGCAATAGGACGTGACGGGGACGAGTTCGTAATACGACACGCCGTCTTTGGTGATGCCCTGCGAGGTGCGGGTCACTCGGAAGGGCTCGCCCAGCAACAAGCCTAGCTCCTCAGTGCCGAAAAACGCCCTGGACACATACACGCGTTCACAGAGGCGTTTGTGTGTCTGCATCCATCCATCATCTGTCTGTCTTGTGACTGACCAGCTGATCATGGCGATAGAGAACGGAATGTAGTAAGGAGCCTCGCTGCCTGCAAGAACCAGGGGCAAAGTCATAACGCCGATCGACAGTATGCGACTGGTATGCCGAGCATAAACCGGCGGCACAGGGGTCTTCGCCAGTCGTTCGCCGTCCCCTACCGCACGCTCAAGCGCACTGATGTAGTCAGCCATCTGGGAATACACCGCTGGGCCGTAATTCTCATTGTGTCCGCTCCAGAAGCCGAACTCGTCTTTCTCCATCTCCCTGCTGGCCGGAGGGAAGGTGGGAAACGACGCTGTGCTGGGAGTGAGCAGCTCGTTGGTGTAGGAGGGGGCTGTGGGCGATGGTGGGGTGTCGTCAGATGCCGACGAGGCTCTTGTGGATGGAGGGGGGACGATTAGAGGGTTGCTCAGGGTCTCGCGCGTCAACAGAGTCAGCTTGCTGCACACTGCACACACGGACACGATCCACATCGAGTGTGTGTGTGTGTGTATGTGTGCAGTGGCCCGGCAGGCAGACACACACGTGTGTGTGCGTGGGTGACCCACCTGCGAGCGGTTTGTTTCGTTGGTTTAGGTTGAAGAGCTCCCGCATCTCTTTGGCGTTGATCAGTGGCGAGAACTCTGTTAAGTCGCTCTCCTGACGCAAATGCTGCTTGAGCGCCACGCCATACGCAGCCGTGAACCTGTGTGTGGTTGACACAAGACACAAGACCAACGAAGATGACATTTCATGGGAAGACAATCGACAACCGATTCGGCACGGTCAAGTGTGTGTCCTCACCTGAGCATGTTTGCCCGCAGATCGGAGTTGTCGACGAAGGTTGTGGTGAGCCGCTTGATGCCCCTGCAGTTGTTGATGACGGTCGACCACAGCTCCACTGCCTGCAGGAAGCGATCGTACGACTGCTGGATGCGGAAAGCCAACAGCAGACCTGCCACACACACACACGCCACAACTACATCATCCGCACACACACACGGATAGCGGCTGGCTCACCCAGGACGCTTCCGAGCAATGCATGCGGCAGTGGTGTGAGCGTAGGCAGCTGGGGGTACTTCCAGTAGACAGTGGCAATCACCATCGACCAAGCTACATTGAACAGCATGTGGTTGGATATTCGCCGCAAGATCCGCGAATTGGGCAGCGTGATGAGCGACGCGGGCCACGAAAAGTCAGTCGACCACGAAAACTCTGAACACAAGCAAGCAAGCAAGCAAGCAAGCACGTGACAGCGAGATGCATTGCACAGCCGGCGTGTGCGTGCCGTGGGCTCTGCGCGTACCGTCGTAATCGAGTGTGGACGTCCATTCAATCAGTGGCCGGACAATAGGGTCTCGGTATATCAGCGGCTTGGTTGCATTGACCGCCCCCGTCTCGTTCCTCTCATCACCCTCGGCAGCCGTCGCATTATCCAAGATGCTGGCTGCTCTAATGCCATCCTCGAGAATCCTCGGCCACGCCGACCACCTTTTTCGCTCATCGACCACACCTGTTGTCGGGTGAGAGTTGGGGACTGTGCTAGACTGCTGCTCGGTGGTCGGCTGGGCCGTCTGAGGGGACTGGGAAGAAGACGCGAGCAGCCGAGAGAGGCGACTCCTTCCTCGAAAGACGACTGTCGGACGAGAAGGCGCGGATGCAGGCAAGAAGGCGGTGGCGGCTCCGGCAGAGAGTAGCAGCGCAGCCACAAGCCTCACCAGTAACAGCATCGTCAACACAGGCTGGCGCAAAAGAGAGAGAAGAAAGACGATGCGGGTGCAGCGACTGTTGCTGAAGAAAGCTTCCTTGCCTTCTTTTGTCGCTGCTCATCACCCAAACAGCACGGCGACCTCAGAGATCTCCACTGCGATCTGAAATCAAAAGCTCGCAACAGCAAGGAGGGAAGAAAAAAGGCCAAGGCCCGAGATTTGGTGAGTCACAGTGCACCCGAATGGAGCGCCTGTGTCCGTCCCGTCGAGTTTTCGCCTCGTCATTCATGTCATCAGCCGGGAGTGCTCGGCGGCGAGTGAGATGCTTCTCGTCTTCTGTGAACTGCACACGGTTCCTCTCAGCTATCAGCGCTCGACGGCAGGTGACAAACACCAACGACCTTTCATTCATTCGTTCGCTCACCTCGTCGTCCGTGTGGCCCTTCCTCTCTGGCAGCCGTCTGCGATTCGGGCGCTCCAGCCGCTGCTAGCGATTCCCGGAATGATCTCTCTAGGCGGGGGAATGCCCAGCGCCTCGCAGTTTCCCATTCAGTCGATTGCCGTAACGCTCAAAGATGGCGCTCAGATCGAACTCGACAACGTGGAACAGCTGCTGCAGTACTCTCCAACGAAGGGCTTGCCACGGTGGGTGTGAGGGAGAGAGAGAGCGAGGCACAAGTGTATCTGTTTCCGTCCAAATGAATCGCCTGTGTGTGAATATGTGTTGTGTGTTTTGTGTTTGTGTGTGTGTGTGTGCGTTTCAGGTTGGTAGAGCACCTGAAGTTGCTTCAGGCGCGTGAGCACGGGAAGGACCCGGGCAGCTTTGACTTGTGTGTGACGACGGGCAGCCAGGACGCCCTCACCAAGACGTTTGAGGCGCTGCTGAACCCTGGTGACCCCATCCTCATAGAGTCGCCCACATACAGCGGCAGCCTGGCCTTCCTGGAGCCTTTTGGTGCTCAGCTGGTGGAGGTGCCCACCGACCACGAAGGCATCGTGCCGTCGCTGCTGCGTGACATCCTGGCGAGATGGTCGGGCACGCCGCGGCCGAAAGTCCTTTACACGGTCAGTGACACACACGAATATTGATGGATAGTCTGCTTGCGTCGTGAGATGTGTGTGTGTGTGCGTGTGTGTGCAGATTCCGACTGGCAGCAACCCCAGTGGCGCCACAATGAATGTCGAGAGGCGGCTGCAGCTCCTCGAGATCGCAAAAGAGTTCGACCTGTTTATCATCGAGGTACGCGAACGTGCTCACCCACTGCACGATACATGCAGCCGACTCACTAGATGCGTGTGTCGACTTCTGCCCGCCTTTGTTTGTTCAGGACGACCCCTATTATTATCTGCAGTTTTTGCCTTCCCGGCTGCCCTCCCTCTTCTGTCTCGACAAGGACGACGGCCGTGTGGTTCGCCTCGACAGCTTCTCTAAAATCGTCAGTGCCGGCCTGCGGCTCGGCACAGCCACCGGACCCCGGCAGCTCATCGAGCGCATCGAACTGCACACCCAGGCCACATCGCTGCACACATCCGGCCTCTCCCAAGGCCTGTTGCTGGCACTGTTTGACCACTGGCGAAGGCAGCATGATGGCCAGCCAGAAAGGGGATTCCAGGATCACGTCAAGGGCGTTGCCGAGCACTATCGCACCCGGCGCAACAAGTTGGTCGGCGCAGCGAAGATCTGCCTGGGCGAGACCAACGACAAAGTGCGCTTCAGCCTGCCGCTGGCCGGGATGTTTCTGTGGATGGAGGTGTGTGTGCCGGGTGTGGATGACACCACTGAGCTGATCAAAAGCAGGGCGGTCGACAAGAAGGTGCTGCTGCTGCCGGGGTCAGCTTTCTATGCCACCAAGACAGCACCACCTGACACACAGCAGCAGAAGGTGCGCAAGTCGCGGCAAGTCCGGGCGGCCTACTCGACGGCTACCGACCAGGAGATGGTCGAGGCCATGAGACGCTTCAATGACATTCTCTCGTCTGCAAATGCATCTCAGTCAGTCAGTCGGCCAACCGGCCACATCAGTCAGGCATGACAATGGTGCTGTGCAGAATTAATGTGCTTTGTGGAAGGTCTCGATTTGTCGGTTGTGTATGAGTTGTGTGGAAGTTGAGTCGTGTGGAAGTTGACTTGATTGCATGAATAGGTTGACATTCGCGGCGCTGCCAACCACCTCCTTCGCACAGACCCTTTCGAATCAACCATCTGTTTTCACCACTGGCACTCGCACAGCCTACATCGGAGAGCCTGGGTGCATTACATGCATGTACCCATCCCGCACACACACACACCTGTCTGTCTGTTTGGCTGCCTCTATGTGTGTGTCTCTGTCTGTGTACGTCTATCGCATGTGTGGATGGATAGCCGGATGCGCCTTCGTGAGTCGTTTCTTGTCACTGTCTCTTTCTCTTTCGTAGTCCATGCATGATGACGCAAACGCACATACGGACACAGACAATGACGAACACTTGCTAACGCTCACGCCCATGCAACAACAGGAGTGCAGGCGGGACATCAAGTCGTTTACGTCTTGGCCAGGTGTGATGATCGGAGATGGCCTTTCGAAGGTCTGCCTGCGCATCCGATGTGCGTGGATTGCCTACACAATGTCGTCCAATCGCGTATGGGGACAGTCGAGAATCCGATTCTGAAGACGCCGACTGTCCCTTGAGATAATTCTAGTGTTTTCTCTGACCCATACTGGCCTATTTTTTCGCCAGAGATGGCGTGAACGAGGGCATCCGGTCGGCCCGTGCATACTGCGACCGGCGGAGCATTCAGGACACCACGCCCCAGGCGGGCTGGCGCGTTGCGGGATGGGGTCAAAGCTGCAGTGCATCATCATGCACATCACCGGGCAGACCGGCACGACCCCCCTGACGCTGACAAAGAGGGCCCAGAACCGTGCGCAGCAGGGAAAACAGCAGTAGGCAGGTCAGGGCGGCAGCGGCGGTCAGGCTTCGGGCCAGGCGTGTACATACTCGACCCTCTTCTTCTGCATGTGAGCAAAGAGAGGGGAAAGATGAGGAGGCCATCACTTGCTCTAACTCTTCGTTGTGTGTGTGGGAACGGTGGTGTGATGGTGTTTTCAGGGAGTTGAGGTGTCGCAAAATATTTGGTCTCATCAACTACACGCCGCAAGACACCGCACGCGTGTGTCAGCTGGTCGGGTGAGCCACACAATACAGCACATCACACACACATGCAAGCACACATGCCATGTATGTGTGTGGATTTGTATGTATCTGGTATCATCCATGTCAAAGGCGAGACGAACGAACACCCAGGCAAGCAACAAGGAGAGAGAGGCTGCAACTGACAGAACATGATGGGGAAGGGCGGATGAATGGTTGATGGTGTGGGGCTTGCAGGATTGCACTGTCACATGGTGCGACGAGATGTAGGCAATGAAGCATACGTCCCGCCACCGCCGTCAAATCGTAGGCGTCGCTGCCGCACGAGAAGGTGTTGGAAGGATTCATCGACTCACACCACAACAGCAGCTAGAGCAGCAGCAGCAACAGCAGCAGCAGCAGCCAGTCTTTGGCAGCAGTACGGCCATATAATGGTCCTCATTCACCATGTCACACACCATGAGTACTACGAATACCATCGGGAGTGTGATGACGGCTCACTTGCTCTTTCCTAAGGGAGAGAATGGCAGGGCGTCGTCTACGCCTACACGACCGTGCATTTCTCCGACACCTCGACCAGTACCATCCCCGAACGTCACTCGGTGACGTATGTGTTGGCGATTGCGTTGTCCGAGAATGACGAACCCCACAGGTAAGCGGAATGGGGGTCAGTGAGTGATTGACGGTGGAAGATGGGTCGGTTGCTGTTTGCTTCCTCTTTCTTCTTTTAGATTCTACCAGTGGTCGGGGCCGATCGCTCGCCTCATCACTGCTTACATCCCTCCCGGCCTATTCATCGGGTTACCCGCATAGCAGTGGAACAAAATTGCCGAGTACTTAGTCGCGTACAAGGCTATGTGCCTCTTCAAGAACCAAGTGCTCGACACCAATCAGGTAAGTCAGACACCCTCATAACATTGTAATCCGTGTTCATTCGTTGTTTCGCGTGCCCCTGCATCTGATGGTCCGAGTGGTCATCCATACGCTAGTCCATGATGTCTCTCCTGAGTGGATTTCTCAGCATGAGCCCCTAGGTCTCCCACTGCTAGGCGTGCCCTACAACGGCCGGAGCTTCGACATCCACAACGCAGAGGTGTATGAGCTGAAGGGCGACCGCTACTTCAACCCAAAGAGACAGCTCGTCGAGTTGCACTCAAAGTCGGCCTCCCTTAAGACACAACACACAATAGTCTGCCCACAGATAAGTAAATGTGAATGTGTGCATTCTTTTAGGTGCCACCCTTGCTTTGCGGTGTGGCGGATGCAGCTCCGCTATGGCGAGAGTGGCCGTGACCTCTACAATCGTACTCCACACGATCAGTCACATACACATACACGTCCCTCGGTGTTGCCAACATCAAACGGGGAACAGGAGACAGAGAGTGGGAGGTCTCTAAGAGGGCACGCTCAGCCCGCATCAGCATCATCGAATGACCGTGCAATTGCGACCGTGGGCGGCGGTCAGATGGACTTCGAGTCATCGGAAGACTTCAAGATGAGTCACATCAGGTGCTGGTACAATGTCATGTGTGCTGTTTTGCAGCGCTATTCGACAGACTCCAGATCCCTATCAGCTTTATGCCGGTTCTCACCGGCCCCCCCCCTTCGCTCGACTCCTCCATACTCTCTTGGTACGTCTCTTGGTCAAGGGCATCGGCGCGAAAACCTTATGCATGATCGCTCTGGTAGACGATCATGGAATGGCCTCCTCTTATTCACACAGCTCTGTCGTTGTTCTGGGTTGTCTTCAGTTGTTCGTCTTTAGACGAACGGACAGCATCTGAAAGACGAAAACAAACTGGGCGGGATCTATGTGCCCTCTCGTTTGGCGTTTCAGTCCTCGGCGGAGATGGGTTTGCAGCGTAAGGAGACTCATAAGAAGACGCGTGATGTTGTGTGTTATGTGTCACCCCTTTCAAACCGGCATGTGGTGTAATGCAGCGCAAGTGCAGGACCAGCACATGCTCCGCTTCTTGCTCGGCAACTACAACAAAGAGGCAAAGCAACTGCACGACAACGGAACAATATCAACAATATCGCCGAGAAGATTGTAAAAGAGTTCTTAAAGAGCAGAACCGGTCAGATAGCACTGGAAGAATGATACATGTAGACTGATCATATGTTCTGCGTGTGTGTCTATGTGTACACAGGACCGGCTTTAGTACGCCATCAGGCTCCTGGATGCTAGAAGGAAAGCATTCATTGTCAAGATGGCTGAAGTGCAGATCGAAGAGGATGTGAAAAGCTCAAGACCATAAGGCTTTTCTACTTCACAGAGAAGCTACACGACATCCGTAAGGAAAAGGACTCGTGCAAAAACGAAGTGCGAGCCATTGATGAGAAAGGTACGTGTCGGTGTGAAGGGGGAGAAAGGTACGTGTCGGTGTGAAGGGGGAGAAGTGTTCATCGTGGACCTCGTTTTGCAGGCCTCAACCTCCTTATTGACGCGACAAAACCTAGGAGCATGAGTAAATAATCACGCACATAGATGCGGAAACAAGATCATACGGCTGTGCACTCATTCTTCTTCTGCGCAGTGACGGTGATTTCAGGCGACCGGAATGTCGAACGAGCCGGTCGCGACAATGCAATGATTTGTCTCCTATTGACCCTCCCACAGAGGAATGAAGCAATGGATTCATCATAGCTACAAATAGACATCCATTATAGCGTCTCATACATCCAAGTCACGGCTACCCTCTCCCCCTCCGTAGTTTTTCTATGAGTGCGGCGCGTGCTTATGTCTGTTTGCTTATGTCTGTTTGCATTCATGTGTCTGAGTGTGCATCTGGGTGTGCACGTTTGTATGTGAGGGCACAAAGAGACCTCTTCGATCATTGACATGAATTGTTCAAAACCATATACACATTGCGAGAGCCGGGTCAGTTCACCACATCAGAAGGCAACAGCACATGTGAATTAAGCAAATGTGAATTGTACATATCCACAAACCGACACGCATGTCTCTTCTCAATTGTCAAAATAATGCTTTGCACGCATATGAATTGTCGGCCCTTTACGAGCCCCAGAATCGGAAGAATGAGGTCTTCTTGGGCTTCTCCTGGCTGCTGTGCTCAGCTTGTAGATCCACCAGGCGCACCTAAATTGGATACACATTACATGCACACGCCCATGCCATGTGAGTGCATGCCGTCTGCAGGTGTGTACCTCTAGGTCAGCCACGAGCGTCGCATAGGTCCTCAGCTGCTCCCTCGTCGTTTCAAAGCGGGCACGCACGCGGTCCATCTGGATAGGCATAGATTAAATCATGTGTGTCTGTGCGTAGGCGTATGTGTGTATGTGTGTGCGCGGCATCCACACAATTCACTCACCTGTCTGTCCCGTTCCGTTTCGCTGTTGGCCAGCTCCACCTTGGTGTTGATCAGCTCCTGCATATGCGTGCACGGCCACACACACACATCCATCCATCCATCCACCCATCCATCCATCCATCAGGCCACTCACCTCTTCTAGCTCGAGTATTCTGGCCGCCAGATTCCTCTGCTGCATCTCGTTGTCACGCGACATGGTCTCCAGCTTAGCCATCGTCGACGGCCTGCATACACACATGCATTCGTGTATGTGTGCGCTTGTCTTGTGGATGCATTGCATGCGTGCCGTGGTCGGTCGGCGAGCTCCTGCTCCAGCTCTTGCAGGCGATCCTTCAGTGCCTTTGTCTGCACGTCAAGTAACGGACACACACACTCATAGGCCAGCTGGGCACACTTGATATGATGTGCAGGTATGTGTGTGCACCTCTCTTTGCAAAGTGGTGACTTCAAGCTCGTTCTTGCGGCGATATCCGACTGCCTCGTCCTAACACACACCACACCACACACGTATTCATAGCTCGTGTGTGGTGGGGTGTGTGTATGCGTGGCTGTCGGCGGCACTTGCCTTGAGGACTCGTTTCTCCGCCCTGTGTGTGGCCATGTCGGCCTCCCTCTCGCGACGCAGCGCGTCACGCACCGCTGTCAGCTCACTGACCTGACCAGTGCCGCACACACACACACAAAGACAAGTGCTCACACGCATTCACGGATGGCCCTTGTTGCACACATCACACATACATACCTCTTGCTGCAGGACTTGGACCTGCTGCCCCAGTCCCTCCTGTGTGTGGTCCTGTGAGCTGATGGCCAGACGCAGACGCGACAACTGCACACACATCCATCCATCCATCCATTCATTGAATATGTGTGCTTGGTGTGCTGTGTGCGGCTTACGTCCTTCTCGAGCGCTCTGCATTTCTTCTCGAATTCGTCGCGCTCCTGCTCGATGCGCGCACGGTCGTCCTGCACACATGCACACACATACACGCATGCATTCAGGTGCGTGTGTGCACTTGTGTGTGAGTGAGCATGCACACACACGCACCTCCGTCTCTTGCGCACGCTTCTCGCTGCATGGAATTGACACACAGAGGAGTGCAATCGTCCATCCATCCTTTCACCCTTTCATCCATTCTGTGTGGTGCGTGGGGTTATGCGTACAGCATGGTTTGTCTGAGCTCGGACGAGCGGCGGAGCGCTGACAGAGAGGCCTGCATTCAGTGGTCCATCAGTGTGCGAGTGTCTGTGTGGGGTGTGTGTGTGTGGAAGGTGTGTGTACAATACCTGGAGCTCTTCAATGCGCTTTTCGAAATCCTGTCTGAGGCGCGACGATTGCTGTCAGTCAACACACACACACACACACACACACACAATGCAGCGTCATCCAACGGATGCGTATTTACCTCTTCTCGCTCGGAGATCTCCATCTCAGCTCTCTCCAGCTTGTGCTTGGTCGTCCTGCAGATGTGTGTGGGCATTTATCCAATCATCCGTGTGTGTGTTTGTGTGTGTAAGTGTCCTCACTTGAGTTCATCTCGCAGGACGTCCGCCACGACAGACACGGCACTCTTTTGGCTGATGGACAAATTCTACACACACACACGCAGAGAGAGAGACTGAATGGATGGATGTGTGTGTGCGTGTGTGTGTGTGGCTGACCGAGTCGAGGTTTTCCTTCTCTCTCCTGTCGACCTTCATCTCGTCCAGCTGATGGGCCAACTCGCGGATGCGCTCATCCTAAACAAGACATACACACACACACACACACACACACAGAGAGAGAGAGAGAATCACACGCGTCGATTGATACCACACGTGTGTTCCTACCTTCTCGGCGATGAGCTGTTTGTGTGCTGCTTCATCCTGTGTGATAGATAGATAGATAGATGGGCTTATGCTTGTGTCCGTGTCGGTGTGAGCATGCTCATCGGTGTGCGCGCATATATACTTGTTTGAGTTGTTTTCTGGCCTTGTCCAGCTCCGTCTCATACCGAGACAGCTCCTTGCTGCTCACAAGAGGCAGGCAGACAGACAGACTGACACGTACAGACACACGAGACACATACGGTCGTAGGCACCTGTGTGCTTCCTTGGCCTTGGCCATTTCCTCGTAGGCAGAGGCCAGCTGGTGCTCCAAATCCTTGATGCTGCACGCCATCCATCCATCCATCCATCCATCGTGCACATAATCGTCTGTGTGGATGCCTGCATACCGTTGTAAGAAGATGGAGACCTCGACCTCGCCGCCCTCCTTGCCCCGCTGCTGGTAGATGGGCTTCTGCTCTATCATGCTGCCGTCCCACCCTGAGGCAGCCTGCTGTGTCGGCTCCTTCTTCTCGAAGTTCCCTGTCTGCGCCTGCAGACATTCGCATGTGGATGGATGGATGTGTGGGCGCGTGTGTGAGTGTGACCTTGGCGAACGAGACGACGCTCGATGGGCTCAGTGACGGGCGATCTGGGGTGTCGGACACACTTGAATCCTTCACACACACACGTATGCGGCAACGAGCAATGGCGCTGTGCGCTGGCAGCAGCACAGGTACCCACCTTCGGTCTTGAAACGGCAACAGGCGGCTGCAGGAAACCTGCACGCAAATTATTTCATTTCACCCGTGCAACCATTTTGAGTGAAGAGATGAATCTGTCCCGAGTGCCACTCTGTTACTGCCGTCAGATGGCGAGGTTTCCTCAATCACCGGAGGCAGCCTCTTGTTGGCCTCTTGCTGCTGCTGCGCCCTGGGCGAGTCGAGGCCGAATGAGGGAGAGTGGCCATAACCTCCCTGTGTGTGAATGTATTGCAGACACAGAGACAGACACGCATGGATCTATGGATCTATGGATGGATCGATGGATGGATGTGTGTGTTTGGTCAAGGGGAAAGGGCACCTTGAACGAGAAAGAAGGTGAAACCGGGCTGCCCCCACTGACACACACAGACAGACAGACAGACGGAGGAAAGGGAGAGGGAGAGGGAGAGAGTGTGTCCATCCACACACGTGTCTGTGTGAGCGTGTGTGTGTGTGTGTGCTTGCCCGCTGCCGCTGATGTTCAGGTTGACCTCTGACCCTACAGCACAAGGGATGCATTGATTGCATCGGTGTGTGTGGGTGCGGTTCCTGCCTACCACTGGCGCCCAGGTCGACGTTGCTCATGCCGCTCAGCAGCGACATCGAGTCGTCATGGTCAGTGGCGCCCAGGTGCACACAGCCGATCGTGAAGTGAAGCTGCATTCCATGAGCACATCGACACACCACAAACCACACACCACACACCACACACACGGACGATTTGTGTGTCTGGACGGACATACAGCCGGCTGTGTGTGCGTACATACCTGTGCGTCTTTGTCTCTACACTTGGCCAGTGGAACGGACACCTCCTTCACTGCACACATACACACACATGGATGGATGGACGGATGACCATATGTCACACACATACACAAACGTGCCTGTTGGCTGTGCGAGAGCGACGGTGCTGCTGGCTGGGAAAGGGTTGCTCGCATTGGGAGCTGACACATGAACACGCACACGCGCACACACACACACACACACACACAGAAAGACGTAGACGGATGGAATGCGCACACGCACGTACATGCGGCATCATTGGCCGTCTCCCCGCCCCCCTCCTCGTGTTGCTCGTGCTTCTCTGCGGGCGGCTGGATCACACCTACACACACACACGCACACATGCACACACATGCCGCCCATGGGTGTGGAATATACGCGTGTGTGCGCACATACGTGGTGGCGGCACCGGTGCGTATTCGCTGAGGTCGAAACGGTACTCTCCCAGCACTGCTGTCCGACCTGCACACACACACATGAGAAGGATGGCAGGCACTGCTTGACGAGACGAGACGAGACGAGCACATGAACGGATGCACACATGGAGCCATACCTCTGTCCTTTTTGCTGGTGGAGATGACTTGTATGACGGCCTCCTTGGGCATGTACTTGTCCTGCTTGTCCTGGTGCTGGTGCTTGTCCTGGGGCTGCTTCCCGCCACCCTGTGTATACGTATACACATGACACACACCACACACACATCGCGTGGATGTCGGTGAATGTGTGGACGGAATGTCCACAGAACCGACAGACCTTCTCGCCACCCCTGAACAGCGTCGCCACCAACACGAGCCGCTCCTGTGGGGTGTGGAGGAAACCAAAAAATAACACAACACAACACACACAATATGCCGAAGACGCACGTGTCTGTCTGCATGTGTTTCATGTGTTGAGTGTGACGTGCCTGCATGCTGCACGTGCCCGTCTCCTTGCTGAGCGTCGCCTTCTGCCTCGTGGCAGACCGCTTCGGGCCTACATCAACGACAAATGCACCAATCCGATGCACCCTATTGAATCAGTCATACCTCTGATCCACTCGACGCGTATGTCCTTGTCCTCATCGGTCTTGAGCTCAACGCGATGCAGCGCCAACTCAAACCTATCATCACACAACACAAGTAATACACACACAATGCTCTTCGCGTGTGCAGATTGACTGACACACATCACAAATGCTTGTGCGTCTGTCTATGTGTGCCCACTTGCCTGTATTTCTCCCCCTCTTTGCCAATGTGGCGGGCCGCACGGAGAATGCGCGACATTGTGGTCGCTGAATGCACAGGAACGGGAGCCCCGTGCGTAGATATACACTCACAGACGCGCAGGCCAGCTCACGCTTCAGGGGGGAGAAGGGAGAGCTGAGCTCGCAGTGAAGAAGCCGATTTTGTTTCACAGAGGGCCTTAAATCAACAGACCACTCCTGGCTTCTCCATTGCGGGGAGGACCGGGCAATGGAGAAGCGTCACAACACAAACGGTCCAAAACTCATATCGTAACACCACAACTTCACGATGTGTATACGCTGGTCTGCGTACTCGCGCACGCACATGCACACGCTCACAAACGTTCAGACACGCGAGTGCAGCCATGGATTGATGGATGGATTGGATCAGGTAGACGGGCTGTGCTTGGTGTGCTGTGCATATTTGCCGAGCGCCCAGATGGGAAACACATTCCGATACGCCTGCAGTAAAGCACTCATGCACATGGATCCCTCTGCGTCTCTGTGTGTGTGTGTGTGTGGCCTACAGTGTATGTGATGCCGACAGAGCGGTTGAAGACACCCACAATGTTCTCCTGAGAACACACAGACAGACACACGCATACACAGAGGAATGCAATGCATGTGTCTGCCCCCATGCACACACACGTGTCTGTGCTGTGGGTGGGTGTGAGAGCGTACCTGTGGCCAGTCGCCGTCACTGGTCTGTCGCGACATGATGTACTGGGCGGCGAGGTTGAGGGCCTCCTGCACACCATGCCATGCACACACACGGGTGTGGGTGGATGGATGGATGGATGGATGCCTCATTACCTTGTCTGGACACTCTGCCTCGAGCAAAGCCAGCAGCGCCCAGGACGATTGGATCACCTGCATTCATGGACACATCGCATGTGCTCTGTCTGTCTGTCTGTCTGTCTGTCTGTGCAAGTCGATGCGCTACGTTGCTCTGACGGCTGGCCGATTCGCGAACAGGGCCCTGCATACACCCACACCCACAGAACGACTTTGTCTGTGTGTGTGTGTGTGTGTGTGTGCGGACTGACCTGGTCGTATTTCCATGTGGTGCAGCTCTCGAACGACTCATACCAGCCGCCATCGGCCCTCTGTTTGCTGAGTATCATGTGTACGCATTTCTGGATGGCCGTGTGGGAGGGGGCCACACCACACGCCTGCACAGCAGACAGACAGACACCCACCGTGCCCATCACATGCATCCCTCTGTGTGTGTGTCTGGGCGTGGCGTACCCTCAGCCCCTCTATGGCGAACCATGACGCATAGGTGAAGCACACACCCCAAGAGCCATACCTACACACACAAGCAGATGGGGGCCTTTGCATGATCGAGATCTCTCTCTGTGGTTGTGAGTGTGTGTGTGCGTGTGTGTGTACCAGCTGCCGTCTTCCATCTGCTGCGCCAAGATGAAGTCACGCCCTCGCCTGTGTGTTCCATCCATCCATCCATCCATCCATGTGTGTGTCATGATGTGGTTCTGCTCACCTGATGGCCCTCTCTATGTCGCTGCCTCGGTACTCCGGACGCACACGGGAAAACGCGCCAAGGGCTGCCATCCGTGCAGTGCACACACACAGGGAGGCAATGTGTGAGAGTGAGTGTGTGTGGCTGTGTATGGCACACGCCCACCAGTGACACATGCGCTGGTGCATTCTGTGTAGGAGTAGTCGATCATGATGTCGCCAAACGACTCGCACGGGTTCAGCAACTCATACAAAGGGGAACTGACACAATCCATGTGGGTATCACAGTGCGTAGAAAGAGAAAGCACTCACCCGCGCGTCGGCTCGTATGTGGCCCAGCCGCCGTCACGGTTTTGCAGCGAAAGGATGTAGTCGATGCCTACACACACATGACACGCATCTGTCAGGTAAAACAAACGTGCGCGTGCCTCTGCGTATGCGTGTGTGTGCGTGTGGGTACCGACCGTCGCACATGCGTTCATACGGGAGGCTGCCGTCCTTGAGCGCGTCAACTTGCGCCAAAGCAATGGAACACTGCACGCACACACACACACACACGTGTGGGCCGCCCTTGGTACTCCCTGCGCCCACACTCACGTACCTTGATCCCCTCTGCCGTGCAGTCACTCACAGGCCAGTTCTGCTCACGATGCACACACAATATTCACATCGTGGATTTACACAGAGAGAGATGTGTGTCCCACTCACCTGGTCGCCCACAGTGAAGGGCCAGCCGCCCTTGCAATTGTGGCGGAAATACTTGGTGGTCGGCACATCATGACACACCTGGGAGTTGTTGACGAACGCCTGTATCTTGCGCAGCATGGGCGTGTAATCGCTGTGTATGGGCGTGGACAAAGCCGCCTGTCACACACAATCACGGATTCATCCACACGTTTGCGTGCGTGTGAGCAAACACACGTACTTGGCACGCGAAGGCAGTGTCCCACAGCTGAGAGCCGCACTGCACACACACAAGAAACAACACACACATCCATCCATCCATCCATCCATCTGTGTGTGTGTCACACACACGACGAACCTCGCCTTGCATCTTGATGCCGTCCTCTGCCAGCCACAGGTAATCCGCCAGCCGAGGTATGTGCTTCCAGTACTCATCGCTCTTGGGGTTCTCGGCAAAGCAGCACAGCATGTTCAATGTCTAAATGATACGGAAACAATTGCAGACCATGTGTGTGCGTGAGTGTTTAGGTGTGTGTTTACTTTGTTGACAGGTCCGATGCAGATGTAGTAGCTGAAGGCGTCTTCGTGGTGGACATACTCCATGGCGAATCGCATGCACGCACTCCTGTCACACACACAAGGACACACAGATGGATGGATGGACGGACGGATGGATGGATGGACAGAAGCGCGTGCACTTCGTTGTTTTCTGACCGACCGGAATTTGCGCAGCGCACCGACATGAGGAACGACCCTGTACACGTACACACTTGTGCAGATCCATGTGGCCGACACGGAGTGCTCTGTGTGCGTGTGTGCGCGTGTGAGTACCTCTCGTATACGGAGAGAAGTGAGATGAGAACCTTCATGGGCACTGAGCAACACACAGACGTGCTGATATATACGGGCTACACACACACGTATAGCTACCCACCGGCCACTTCCACATAGCAGTCGATGTCGGCCGACGGCGTCTGAAATGCACTCAATCAACGTGCCATGATCATGCAGATACCCATGTGAATAATGAGTCATAATACGCTTGCCTGTCTGGCTTTCGCCCAGTCGACTCGCTCATAGGGGCACGTGTAGAGCTCGGTCCGCAGTGACAGCACCTACACACACGTGCGCCCGCGCACACACCGACGTCACACGGGTGAGTCACTTACATACATTATTCGCACCAGTGTGTCATTTGCGGCGTCTTTGCTGTATCTCTTGCCGTAGAGGTAGCTCATGGGCAGCTTCACCAGACGGGCATGCACCCACACGTTGCCAGGGTGAAAGGGGAACCACCTCGGCAGGCCCCACAGCTGTTTGCATGAACGCATCACACACAAGTGTGCAGACACAAGTGGTGGGCCTGGGCTTGTGTACGTGCGTGTATGATGCTGACCTCTGGCGGGATGGGCATCAGCCCGTCCCACTCGTACACACCCAACACACACAGCCAGAACCGACACCTGTGTACGCATACACATGTACATATACATAATATACGTACGTGTGGATGCGTGTGTATGTATGCCTCACTAGCAAACACCCGTACCAGAGTGGCGACCTGACGGCGCCCCCATGCGCGTGAATGAACGCCTGTTTCGCCGGGCACACACACACACACACACATCCATATATATACACGTATGTATGTATGTATGAATGAATGATATACATACAGCATCTGTCAGTGATGTGTACAAGTATAGCATGTGTCAGTGATCGATCGATCGCACCCACCCGTGCGAGTCTGCAGCTCTTGTGCTCTTTGTCAGTGCCGAGCAGCCGCAGCGACACGTAAGACAGCACAGTGCCGAACATCGTCGACGCACCTGCACGCACACAAATGCACACAGACATATTGCAGCAACGCGCATACAGACAGAGAGTGCGTCCTTTTGCGTGTGCGTGTGTGTGTGTGTGCACACTTACCTTCGATGTGTGTGCCCCAGCCGCCATCAATCTGCTGGTGGTTGCGCAGGTACACACACAGCCCTGAAGACAATACAGACGGACAGACAGGTACTTATTTGCTGTGTGTGAAACGCGCGAAGACCCCCGTACCTCGCTTGACGTGCTCGCCGAGGTCATGGCCTACATGCAGTGCACACGTAAGTCACCTGTGTGTCGTTTCTGAGTGTGTGCGTGCCCGCCCACCAGTGATGTAGCAAGCGATGACCAGACCGGGAATGAGGAAATGCGGACCTCTGTCGGCACACACACTTGATGAATGTACACGTACACCTGCACACGTACCCATAGTCGCCTGCGAAGTGCCCGTCGTCGCACTGCAGCCTCTCGTAGAAGGACAGCCCCTTGCGCAGACACGAGACCGCTGTTGCATGGACACGTCGACACATGCACACATTTGGGAGTGTGTCGCATGTGTTTGTGTGGGTACTTGCGCCCTCCTCTCTCTCTTCCGGCTGATCCTTGGCTTTGCTGCGGGCTAGCAGCTGCCTCCTGCACACGGACACACACGTAGTCATCTGGATGAATGTATGTATCGATTGACGTGCACCTCAGCGGTTTATCAGCGGCGTTTGGATTGATGTGTGGATCGAACGAGTCGTCGGCTGGCGAACTACCTGCACCCACCCACACGCGCAGACAAACAGACAGACAGATGCACGTGTGCAGTGAGTCAGTGTATCATCAATCTGTGGGTGTTCTTGGGCGTGTGAGTGCGCACCTGTCTTGCTGACGTACCGCCACACCTGACGGCCAACGAGGGAGCCGGTCAGCTGACCTGTATGTGAGTGGCCCAGCGATGAGTCGATGTGTGTATGTGTCTGCGTGTGTGAGTACCCTTCTCGTCTTTCTGCACTGATTCATCGCTTGATGTGAACACCCTATGCATATACATTTGCACACACATTTATACTATGCACACACGAAGGGACGGACACTAAGCTCAGCGCACCATCCTTGTGTGGCCTCGCCGGTTTCTCTCCTCAGCTCCTCGTCACGCACAGCGGAAAAACACGGATACCTGACGCACACACACACACAGAGAGAGTCGCACACACAGAGTGTGAGCCAGATCTGCAGGCGAGATGTGTCCCCGAACAGATGCGCATCTATGTCCACCTGGCCTTGGGGCGCCGCCTCTTGGTGCATTGCTTCACCAGCCAGGCGAATACGCATTGGAAAGGCGACACTATAAGCGACAACACGTCCATCTAGGCCTCCTTTCACCGCCTGCGAGCTTAGCTTCGACCCGGCTCACAAAGGCAGAACGAACTGATTCATCGCACCACTCTGTACTCGCCGTCACTGATCAACTCACAGCCAGCGGTCATCCTCAAGCAAAGATCATCCCTTCCCGTCCTTTCGGTGACGACCAATAGTGGCCATGGTGGCAGGGGCGCTGCTGCTGATGCTGGTGCTGCTTCCATTCATCTTGCCGTCGGCATCTGGCTTCGTCCTTCCCAGCCCGAGCCAACGACTGAGAGCACCGGCTGCCCAGAAGGTCACGCGACTGAGTCAGGAGCAACAACGGGAGGCTTACGATTGGGCTCTGACGCACATCGAGGACATCGTATCGCTTCCCTTCTTCATCGAGGGCACCATTGACAGTGCTGTGCCGGTCATCAGAGGCAAGACGGGAGACTGGGCACTCGACTTATCGGAGAATCCAGAGGAGGATCTGAAAGCTGCGTATGCGTCCGCCACTCAGTCGCCGGTCGGTTTGCTTGGCGAGGAGCCAGCTGACAGGGTGGATTTTGAGCATCGAAAGTCGAGGGAATTCGCAGCCAGCGATCTGCAAATAGAGGGAACGATGGCGGGTTGCACTTATCTGCAATACTATACACCGTGGAAGTACCAGAAAGATCAATGTCAGTACAGCACCAATGACACATGGACTGCAGTCATCGAGGAAATATGTCAAGAAGCCGCCGACAGGAATTCGCCGGGCAGCGAAGTCAAAGCAGAACTGTACAAGGTAAAGGATTTCGTTGATGCAGCCGCAAGTCTTGCTCTCTATGATGATCCACGTCTATGTTGTCATCGCAGATGCTGATTTACGGCGAGAGGGACCATTTTGCAAAACACATCGATACACAGCGCTCGGCAGACATGTTTGCGACGCTCATCGTCTCTCTCCGACCGAGTACAAAGGAGGAGCTTTCACGCTGTGGAAAAATGGAGAAGCTCATGAAACCAGCGATTCTACTTATTGTCTACCCTGGGTAGCCTTCTATTCTGACGTGCCACATAGCGTCGAGACAGTCACTTCGGGCTATCGCTGTGTCCTCGTGTACAATCTGAGCCGCCGGCAAGTTGGACAGAGGTGCGGAGAAGCAAGATCACGGAGAAATTTGTGGGGTCACTAAAACAGTGGTTTCAGGAGACAGAGAGGTATCCTCACATGTGTGCGTTGGGTGCGTGCGTCAGAGGTGTTTTTTGGTTGTGTGTGTTTTCAGGCCTTGGCGATCGCCCTCGAATATGAGTACACCCCTTCGAGCATTGGCATGGAGTATCTGAAGGGCAGGGACAGATTGCTCTATGACATATTGGCCGAGCACTTCAACATCAGTCTAGAGATAATTCATCAGAATTGGAGAGCTCTGCCAGATGTTGATGGACAATGACGTCATTGTCACACGTTGTGCGGGATGGATATTGTTAATCCTCCTTATCTCGAGCTGTTCGATGAGAGCAACGACAAAGGGGCGTGGCGCTGGTTCCTCGCCTTGGAGGATGATGAGTTCTCTTCAGGTAAGCATTGGTCATTTTCAGCCAGGGATCACCGGTTCTGACTGGTGTATCTTTCGTGTCTCTCTCCTCTTTGTTCCATTCAATGCAGATTACATTGAGAAGTAAGCGACAGAAATGGGCGCTCATTGCTCTCCGTGAGTGACGACTTGAAAACGCTTTGGTCTATACAGGTTCGGCAAAAGGAAGTCGCTCGTTGGATTGAATATCGGTCGTCGGACGGGCGGATTCGAGCCGGACGAGGAACAGGGCCGATCTTTGCAGAAAAGCCACAGACCATCAAGACAGAGATGGTGCGATTGGGCAACCAGATGGGGCCAAGTAAGTAAGACACTCGAATGGATGGACTCATCGACAGCTCATGTCACTCACGCCCTTGAATGTGCGTGTGCGGTGTGCAGGCCATTTTCAGTATCTGAGCGTCGCCTTGGTCATCCACGGCCCCAAATAAGAGAGTCAGATAGACCGACAGAGCGCGTACCTGCTTGAACTGGCTTCTGGTGTCAGGCCGCTTGATGCTTCTGCTCTGCATAGTTAATTGTGATCACAATGACAATGTGGTAGTCGTTTTGGTTGTGATAAGGTGTGTGTTTTGTGGCAAATTTGTGGTGTGACGATGGAACGGGCCGAACGGCCGGACATACATGGACCTGAGGCATGCAATCGGTTGATCAAATGCCACATCTTGTCATGAGTATGACATTTGGCATTTGATCAACCCAACTGCATCGAATTTTTGACATGAAATAAGCTGTCAGCGAAGTTTTGTACATCACACGCGGGTCGATTCATCTGTCTGTCTGTGTGTATCTCTGTGTGTGCGTATCTGTCTCAGGTGCAACCGCAGGACACGATGGCACCGTTTTTCGTCAAGGCGACCGCCGACAACAAGAAGAACGTGTGGAGATACCCAGACCGTGTGGTGTGCTCGAGCGAACATGGCCGCAGGTGGGAGCTGGGGGCGTGGAAGAGCGAGGCAGATGCAGAGAGGGCCGTAGTGAAGGTGGCGCAGTGGCTGTGCGACAACCCCAGGGGCTATCTGGGATGGGGCCCGAAGTCCACACAGACGTAGCGAGCTGACTGAGACAGACAGAGAGGCCTTTAGTGTGTAGCTTCCTCTTGTGTCTTCCTGTGGGACAGACAGCCCCAGGCCGGCTGCAAGTGGGTGTTCCGGTGAGAGAGAGGAGACAAGAGATTAGTCCATGCCGGCGGCTGGATGGATGAGGGAGGATAGGATGCCACACACATGGATGGATGGATGGATGGACGGATAGATGGACGGTGTGTGATATGGCGTTCGCTGACAGTCACCACTCCATAAATGTGCATACGACGGACGCATACATACATACATACATACACGCAGTTAGAGAGAGCAGTCTGCCAAATGCCCTACTTGCGGGTCTGGCGCTTCTACAGGTATACACATGGACACGGGCTACTGCTTGTAGTTCATTCAGGCCGCTACTCAGATTTCGCCCACAGCACTACCGATGGTTATAAACTGCTGACCGCTGGTGGATAGCATCCTCTCCCTACACGCACAGACACAAAGGCACTCACTCTTTTCTGCCTGTAGACGTGCAAAGGTGCATCTTTATCATGGACTGTATCCACGTACCTGTGTGTGATGCTCTCGTCGCTCTTGTTGCTCTCCTCCGAGCTGAATGGCGAGCCGCTCGAGTCCTCTTTTTTGTCATTACTAACTGGGGGATAGTCGCTGTGTTTCTTTTTGCCACTCCTCCCGATTGCCGTGCCGGCGCTGCTGCCGTAGTCGCTGATCTTATCGGCACTGATGATCGGGGGCATCCGGTCGATAGCCTTGGGCGGCGGGGCGTGGGGGAACTCGGCGACGGACGGCAAATTCATGATTAGGCAGTCAAAGAGGGAGACGTACTTGGACAGAATGAGAACAAGCGACGCCCACAAAATGCTCAGTACAGGGAACAGCACCAACCTGTTTGTGTGGGTAGAAATAAAAAAAAAGAACCCTTCGCGTGTCTCTCTGTGTATCGCTGTGTCTCGTGCCGCGCTGACCGGTAAGAGCTGCCAAGAAGGGAGGTTCACATCCACTGACCGATCAGCACGTCGTTCTGATTCTGAGACGCAGATGCAATGAATGATACAGCCATGTACACATTGTGAAGCGGCACTCACCCCGACAAAGAGGACGTTCCACCCTACACACGCGAGGCTCAAAAGCGTCCACACAGCCCAGCCGATGATGTTCAGCACCTCCCAAGCAGACATCTGGAACCGCTTCTCGCGAGCGTCCATTTCGTCCTGGATCAGCACATGTGCGTCTCCCTCTCAGTCTCTCTCTGTGTCTCTCTCTGTCTCTCTTTCACCTCGATCACAAACTTAGCGAAAATCCCGAACATGAACAGCCCCACGACCCTCGCGACGACAAACGCCCCCACGGACACGACGATGGTCGACATAGACGGCAGATAGGCCGACCGGGGAGGGTCGCACACATGAGAGAAATAGAGGCTCGAATCGGCGTACGAGTCCACGTGGGGACCGACGTTCTCACCGGCAAGTTTGCCGGCGTGGGACGACACGAGGCAGTTGGACTAGAAGAAGAGGGATGAGAGCGTGATGATGCCCATCAGCGAGGCCTCGAGCACGGCAAAGCGCTGTGCACGAGTCGAGAAGGGGTTATACGTCAGCCTGATGGGCGGCAGTGAATAGAAACGGAGTCTAATTGGCGTGGGAGTGCATGACACGATCTTACGCAGATAAGACGGGGTGATTCCTCCGCACCACGTGGCGGAATATCTTCAGGTTCGGCCACCGTTGGTACCGAAGCCGGTCAGCGATCGCCCTTGCCTGAGCGACACACACACCAGCCGAGATGAACCACGCACGCAATGGCTGCGTCCCCATCCTGTGGCGGCAGACCTCCAAGGTGTCTTCAATGACGAAGGACGCCTCGCTCTCCTCTGTCATCGATGCAGAGAGTATCGACGGTCGGCCCACATTGGTGCTCGCATCCGCGGTCTCCCGCCTGTCTTTCTCATTCTCCTTCTGCTCGAGCTCATCTTCTGTCGCCGGGACATCTGTGACGATTGCGGTCTTCATGTGGGCAATCATCATGGCGAAGGACTCGGCACACAGCGGATCGATGAATGTGAGCTGCATGCACGAGCAGAGGAGAGAGCAGAGGAGACACACATGCGTTTTTGCGAGTGTGTGGATGCGCATGGTGTGCGGATATGTTTGTTGACCTTCATGCTGCCGATGAAGACGGATGCGTCGTCCGCTGTGACGTGTGGCATTTCCTCGATCATGTAGCCGTGAATCTTCTGGCTCTCTTGCGATGACACATTCAGCACCTGCACACAAACACATACAAATATGCATGCATCTGCCTGTGAGAATGCGCGTGTGAATCGCAGACCAGGCCGTCATGCGTCCACCAGATGTGCCCAAAATTGCCGTTGCATGCACCTGCACAGCACAGCATGCACCATGGCTTGTCTCATCATTAGACAGATACAGGTCGATCTGTTTGCCTACAGAAGCAAGCCGAGTAGGGCACCGGCCCCTCATATGTGAAGGAAACCGGCATCGGCGTCTCTTCGTCTTCTTCATCCCGATCGTCGTCGTCATAAATTTCCAAAACCATGTCCCTCTTCCCGTCCTTCGCCGCGCGGAGCAGCCGCGCCAAAGCCGTCACCGACACTGCATGATCGTCCTGCTGCACCTGCTCGTCCTCGTTCTCGGCCGGAAGCAGCTCACCGACGGACGGGAACTCCGGACAGACGGAAATCCTGGCATGGCTCTGCGGTGACTCGACCACGCCGGCCAGGAAGGTGTCTTGGTGGATCAGCTGCGAGGTCTCCTGCTGCTGCAGTAGTGTCTCCTGCTGCCTCAAGCCGGTCACAAAGGTCTGCTGCTTGAGGCGTGAGAGGATGTCTCTGTCCTCGGTGTGGGAGCCGACACTTGTCGGCAGGATGGTGAGCAGGAGCGTGTTGTCGCGGTCGAAGAGGGAGACGGCCCTCTCGTTCTCGTCTTCATGGATGCTCTCGATTGCGTCGAGCTCTATTGCCTTCAGGGGGCCGTTGGTGTCGATCAGATGCCTCCACTGTACAACACACATCGGGCAGTCAACAGCAGCGCAGACAACACTCACTCATTCACACACATCTCACGACCTCACCTTTGTATCTCTGAAGTGCACGGCGGGGTGCAGAAACAGCTCCGTTTTTGACGCCCACATGTAGAACGGCTCAAAAGACTCATCCGCCGTCTCTCGGTCCTCAACCACGTACACAGTCACCGCATCCGGAGGCGGCACCGATGTGTCGCTCGCCAGCGACTTGCGCGGCTGCCCGGTGTCTCCGTCTGTGTCCTGCTGCTGCTGCTGTGGAGTGTTGTCCTCCCGTCGGGCATAGTCGATCTGTGCCTGCATGAGCAGCACATCCAGCTGCTCAAGCCGCTGCTGCTCCCTCTTCTTCTGGTTGGTCAGCCGCGTGTGCCGCCTCGTCCCGACACTTGCACGCGACAGCCTCGCCGTGGTCTTGCTGTGCTTCTGCATCTCAATCTCCTTCATGACCGAGAGGGTGAAGTGGTCCGCCGGCTGGTGTGCCCCTCGGTGTCTGAACCGGCGGATGGCCACGAGGGCGTCTTTGATTGAGGCGCGGTGGTCTCGCTGCTGATCTTGCTTCTGCTTTTTCTTGCTGGGCCGCCGCGGGCAGATGATGCCGAATAGGAGGAACAGCGGGAGTAGGGGGAAGAGGATCAGCCGCCTGGGAGTTATGTAGAGCGGCCCGATAGGCAGACACCCCTGACACAACATAAGACAGACAGAGAAGGAGGAAACGTGTCGGATACGTGTCTCTTGGTCTCACGAGTATTCGAATGGCGGGCATGACGACACAGAGGAATCCGCTGTTCTCCCGCCTTTCATAGATGTCGCGGAAGAAGAAGGGGAGCCTGTCGTCGATCGGCATCCAGTCAAAACGATCCTAACACACGACCAGGGACGCATTTGTGTCCTGTTAGACACGCACATGGCTCACTGGACACACTCACCCGCAGCCACAGAGCGACAACGGGGACCTTGAGCAAGGCAGTCGACAGCACCACAAACACCAAACCAAGATTGCCTAGAGAAAGGATTACAGGTGTCGATAAATGAGCGACACCTCATCAGTATGCGTGTCTCTTTGTGATGCCTACCGGCCTTGAGCATGCTGAGCAGCACACTGGTGTCGAATGTGAGCTGTGGACTGTCGCTGCCCTTGCCGCCGTCCACACGCACATGATCGTCCACATAAATCGCAGCCGTAAACGTCGTCAGGTGTGTACACGCGCACTTCACACATACACAGAGAAAGGTACACATTCATACCCGAGACGCATGCCTTCGTCTGGTGGATCGCACCTGGATCGACACATCAGTGGCCGTCACGTTGCATTGCGCATCGACGTACTGCTCATTCCCCTCATCCCACTGCATGCACGACGGCTGTCCAGAGGGCGCCGATGCATCCCGCGGGAATGACAGCACCAGGTCAACGTTCTGCACGTCAGTGAGCTTCGTCGCGTCTCGCCAAAGGTCCACTGTGATGGCCGTGTCGAGCACAAGTGCTTCTGGTGTGGGTGTGTGTTTGGACAGAAGGGGGTTGCTGGGCAGAGTGACTGCGGTGGCGTGCGTGGCGTTGGCATTGGCTATACTTGCCGCTGAGAGAAAGATGCGCGTCTGCAGACATAGATGCATGTGTGTCTCTTTCCTCTTTCACGCCTCTCTCTCTCGCTGGCTCACTGTGTTGATGCCCAGTATGGTGTTGGCCTGTCTGGGCGTCATTTGGATGGAGAAGTCATCCTTGGTGTGCACCAAAGGCAGCGAATACTCCCGGGCAAGCCTCGTGATATTCTCATAGACCTCGTCCTGCATTTTCAGTTAAGAAACAAGATGCATACGCACATACACGTGCTCTTTCTGCTCATATTGCCCACCATCAGTGCCAACGCGTCTGTGGCGTTGCCATCCTTGGTCAAGAATCCCCTCTTCGCCAAGGCATTCATGACGGCGGGCAGCACCCGCAGCAGCAGTGAGGCGCTCTCTTTGTCTGTCTCCGTGATCAACTCTGTCAGCTCCCTCACAACCGCCACCAGTTCGCCAGCCATTAGTGTGTCTCCGGCCATGTCGGCCAGCTTCTCAGCTGCCTGTGCGACAAGCATCTGGGTCTCTTGCGTATCGTCGTCAGTATCGATCAAGGATAGAAGTTCCATCAGCTGAGACATGAAGACGGCATCATCACCTTCTCCCTCTTCCTCTCCTTTCCCCCTTCCGGCCTCTGACGCAGCAACAATGTAGGAAGCGATTTCTGCGGAATCAGCGGTGCCGTTCAGCATGTCGCTTATGTTGCGGAGCGGCGCCGCTGCTGCTGAGACAACAATTCTCGCATAGGGGCAGGTCGGTGTGCTCTTGTCGTTCGTCGCCGTGCAGAGCGACGACAGCATCCATGGCAGCTGGGTGTTGTGATGGCACGGCAGATGGCAGGTGTTGTTAAGCGCGTCCGTGATATGCGAATAGATCAGGTAGTCTCCTGGCGGCAGATGCACGAGCAGACAGGGGTCCTGTCGTCGGTAGGACAGCACTCGTATCGGCTTGACGCTTTCAAATTCGGTCACGAAGGTGCTGTATGTTTCTCGGCCCATCTCGCGCGCATAAGGGTCGATCTCCCACCCATACTGGTCGATGTGCACTCGGCCATCCCCCACCGACGCCCGCAACTGGCCAGCCACCGGGAAGAGTGTGGCGCGTATGTTTGTGTGCCAGTCGTCGGTCTGAGCGTGGTAGATCCATCCGGGGTGCAGCGTCCCCGCCGGGACGCTCCCGTTGGCTAGCGATATCTCCTCGGCAAAAACCTCTTCTGCTTGTACGCGACCGTAAGACACCAAAGGCGTCAGTATGGTGGGGGCACTCGTCCCCAGATCCACAGCAGCATGAGACGACACCGGCCGCTCGATGCTCCTGTCAATGTGTCGGAAAGACGTTTGCAGGTCGCGTGTGACAGTTATCGCGCCGGCGGCCACGCTGCCTTTGCTCAGCTCCTGGCTGGCTTCGACGGCAAACACATATATTCCCTGCCGTGTGTTGTTCAGTCTGTAGGAGACGCTCCTCTCCGTAAATGGCACCACCTGTGTCGCAATCAGGGCGCTTCCATTCATGTTGCTCTCCATCAGCGTGTAGTTGAAGCAATCGTGCACTGTCGCGTTGGCAGCAAGAGCCCGGAACAGCAGCTGAGGGGCCGACAGGTATGGCGGAGTGCGTGTGGGCGAGACGGCAAATCTCGAAGTGACAGGCGTCCAGACGCAGTACCAATCCGTCCTTGTTGGCTGCGCCGCGCCTTGTGGCTCGATGTCCAGAGCAAGGGTCATGTTGCCGCCCAACGAGAGAGACAGTGCTGGCGCGTCGTATCTGTCGACCCGACGGGGAACACGGCTTCCCTGTTGCAAGTCGGCGAAGTGATGTTGGCGGCGATATCGAACCGGCTCTCGACGTCTTGTTCGGAGACGCTCATCACGAGAGTGGACGTGTTGCCACGATCCGGCAGCCACGTCACCGTTGCATTGCGGGGAGCCCCTGATCGTAGACGTATCTGCAACAAGGCAGCAATAGGCGCCGATTCGCCTGATTGATCGGCTCTTCTCTCTTAACCTTCTCCGTGGGCTTGAACGTGTATATTTTGCGCTCGACTGACACAATTGGCTCGTTACAGCAGGTCTCCTTGAGCAAGGGAATCTGCACGCGCCTTGTTGCGGATACGGAAAGGTAGCTCTCGACCGTTATGACAAGCAGCAGCGGCTTCGAGCTGATCTCCTGAACCTGAGCCAGCAACGTCCGGCTCAGCACCAGCGTCGTGACTGGCCTCTTCAAGCCTGCACCACCACGACAAACGGTTGTCTGCCGGTTTACGCGTTATTGGCGTACCTGATGCCTGCTCCAGCGTGTCAGAGAGCGGCAAACACAGCTGTCTCGGCTCACAGCCGAACGAAAACTTGACCTTCCGTCCGCCGGCTCCGCCCACCAACACGTCCACGCGCAAATCCTCTTTGCCACAGGTAGAAAAATGGTCAGGTGCCATCACGCGGATGGAGGGAAAGACGGTGTCGATTTGGGGAGATGCCAAGTACTTCACGTCCTCGGTCGGGTTCAGCGTGCTCCTGACTTTATCTTGCAGAGACAGCGTCGCTCCCTCTCCAGCAATCAACAAGACGCACCTTCTGTCAGGCGTGGCCCACATGCAGTGGGCTCCCTGGCCAAAAAGGCCTATGCTGCCGATGGCCGCGCAGGGGTTGCTGCCCTTGCAGCAGAGAGGCGCCTCGAAGCAGACATGGGATACCGCGGGCGAGAAGGACGCGGCGGCTGACACAAGTCGGGGCTGAGGGTACGGCGTGTCCTCGGAATCGAGGGTACAGAAGGTGGAGCAGCCGTCTTGCGAGAAACGGTTAGAGTCGTCTGGATGGCACAGAAGAAGGGACACAAGCCATCACCCCCTCAGACCCCTGCGCATGGGTGCGTGTGCGCATACCGCATTGTTCGCCTCCTTCGATCATCCCATTCCCACACCTGGCACTCTAAAGATGGAGAGATTAACACAGATGTGACTGTCTTCTCTCATCTAGGGTGCTTACGCAGTTTTTCGAAGGGTTCAGTGCCAGACATCCCTCCGCTGTGGTGCATGTCTCCCCGCATATATTGCCAGGGTAGACCTCGATAACCGAAGACGCTGCCGGCTCCACTGCAAAGTCTTCTGGGTCTTCACACGTGCCGCTGTCCGAGGCATCGCACAGACATGCCTTGAAGCTGCCCGCGTGGGGTGGAGCCACACTGTCGCACACAATCTGCTCGTTGGTGGACTGCTGTGACGCTGGGCAGATGACAGCCGGGGCCGCCGAGCCGCAAGTTGTGCTTGCGTCGCCGGCAATAAGAGTCAGCCTGTCGCGTTGGGCATCGAAGTAATTGCCCCTGATGACCAGCGTGATATTCTCGCCCGCCCCGGGAGCCTTGCCGGGGTTCGACTGCTCCACCGCAGTAACAACGCTCTTTTCTGAAAGGATACACACACACACAACGCATTCGAGGAGGCGGAAAAAGAATTGGATGGCAATCGAACTCAATCGATAATGCTCATCAGCCAGTTGCCCCCGCCGGCGTTTTTGGAAGGTGCGAAGTTGTTCGCGGCCGAGCAGTCGCCGTCGAGTGTAGGTGAGGCATCGCACTTGCAGAGACACAGCTCGGGGGCGACCCTGTATGCCACCGTGGTGCACACCAGCGACGGGTCGCATATCAGGTCAAATCCCCCTGACTGCGCACAGGAGCCGCACGTGGCCAGCTTGAGTCGATCCGTCTGCGTGTCGAAGCCATCTGCCACAAGCTGTACTGTCTGCGGCTCGCTCTCGATCAGGACCTTCGGGCTGAAGTCCCTAATAATGAAAGAGGCTATGGCACACACACACAAGAGAGATCATAAATGTAGAGGACAGGATGATCGTGGTCACCGGATAATGAGGCGAGCGGTTGAGGGCCTGGAATGATGATCTCTTGGATGAGCGCCACGGAGTCGTTCAGGATGAAGCTCAAGCTCTGGCACGCGACAGATGTAGTCTTCTCCTGCTTGCTAAGCGACAGATCCTCAGCCAGAACCACATCCGGCGTCCGCGGCAACTTCACGTCGGAGTCTTTGAAGAGGTTCTCCAGGATCCGTGCAGAGGTGTTTCTCGCCTGCGCCCTCAGCTGCTGATAACTCTCCAACAGAAACGTGTTGTTGGATCGCGGCACCCACTCGTCGTGGCAGAGGGCCACTATGTAGCCATGATCCGACGTGAAGTCGAAGGGGGCCGCAGACGAGCTCCGTGTCTTGCTTGTTGATGTCGTCCTTCAAATCCTCGGGAATCTCACAAGGCAGCAGATAGAATCTTTGGACTTTGAACTCCTCGAGCAGCTGCTCCAGCGATGATTGCGTGCCCGACAGTTCTGTCACCAGAGGGAACAGCATGAGCTCGTCTGAGCGGTCAAACCGCTTGCCACTTAGAGTGACAGACAACTGAGGGCGCATGAGGCACACTGCGACATCTGCTCATGTGCCTCTGTGAAGATGTCCCACCTTAACCCCGACTTCTGGCGGCCTTGAGACGTCCACACTCTCAACCGATGCTTGCACTGACAAAGAGGCAGGCCGACACATGACAAGAGAAAGAAGAAAGCGGCATGTGTTCTCTTCGATATGTCTGTCACCATAGCAGGTGGACTGATCGTCTTCCAATCGAGCAGTGCCCGAGCACTGACACTCAAAGCCGTTGAGTCTGTCCACACACACGTCACTGCAGTTGTTCATCGACGATGCCGCGCACTCATTGACGTCTACAGAGCAAGGCAGTGTGAGACAGAATGCGTGTGCACGCGATCTCATTATCTCATCGCTTACCAAAGAGCAGCCCAGTGTACGAGTAAAACAGATTGCCTGAGCCGTATGAGTCAATTACAGCCCCCCCATGCGAAGTCACGCTCAGAGGTCCTTCTGCCGGGATCTGCAGGGTCACGTCCAGATAAATCTCTTCCCGCACCGCTGCGCCAATCAGTGCCGCGCTCGTCACCTAGCACATGCACCTTGAAATCATCGTATCTCAATATCTCGGCTGAGGTGGCTTACGTGTATTTGGCTGGTGTCGACATTCCGGACCAGCTCGGAGAACTCCAGTGTCAACACGTGCGTCTCATTGTTGGTAATGACGGTGGCGTTTGTATTTGGCAAGACCACGTGCGGGGGAATGATCGCTGCTCAACAACAGATTCACAGCAAATTGCAAATAACGATTCATTTCAGATCTGTCCTCACGTGTCGTCCTGATGGCCCGCGTGGCGGCGACGGTCTGGACAGTGCCGCCCTCGTCGACAGCCACAAATGAGATATCGTGATTGGTGTCGGGAACCAGCCCAGAGAAGGTGAAGACCCCACTGCTGCCAAAGGCCATCTGCTGCTTTGGTGATACGCTGGTGGTTGGTGGCTGATTGACCAAGTCGAAGTCGGAGACGGTGTTGGTCACAAAGTCGGCGCTCGTGATTGGCTGGCAGTATATGAACGCCGTCTCAGAAGCGACGACTTGCACCGTGATGGTCTCCTCACTAGCCACGATCGATGTCGCATTGAAGGGGAGAACGGGCGGTGTAATGTCCGAGTCCACCGCGGAAACTTGCATGCACACCTTTGGCTGACTGTTGTCTCCTTGGCTAACCGAATATCACTGTGAAGCTGGCCTGTTGAGTGTTGCCATTGCCAGCGAGATCCACAATCTTGCCCGCATCGATCTTCACCTCCACGTTCCCCTCAGCTACTGCTTCCAAGCGCACTAGGTCGCCGTCTATCGAGAGTATTGCGGCGTTGGTGAGCGTGAAGGTGCTCGCTCCGAGAGGCTGCGATGCCAGGACGAAATTGTCGTCGGCCACAGTCACGGTCACATTGAACTGTTGCTGTCGTGTTTTGGGCCCAGACGTGGAGGAAAGCGCGATGGTCGGAGGAATAGGGTCTGGAGGAGACAGCAAACTGCTTTTGTTGGTTCATGTGCCTCGTCCCTTACTGACCAAATTCGACGGTGATTGTGTTGGATCGCTGGTTGGTCAGGCCCTTGTTGTCCTCGGCCGCCCTTTCCGCCAGATACACTTCCACAGTGCCCCCGCCCGTCTTGGCGTTGGGCACGAGGATTGTACACCTGAAGTCTCTGCCGCTGATCCGCTCCCACGACGTCACATCACCCTTCTCCCCATCCACCATGAAGTACTGCGTAAAATCTTTGTTTGTTGTCGTGCTGGTGCTGAACCTCATGTTGACCGGGAAGCTCGCCGTGTTGACGAGGGATGAGGCCGTGAGGTCAACTGTCGGAATCCAGTCTAAAGCCTGGCCAGAACCGATGTAGTCTACACACACAGACACACGCACGCACACAGAGAGAGACCAGAGACAGTGCGGGTCAACCGAGTGGTGTCTCTCTGACCGAAAGTGACGACAAGCTGCAGAGACTCTTGATTTGGTTTGCTGGCGCTATCAACCGCCAGTCCCTCGTTTGCTTTGATCGTCACAACGTCGCTGCTCGGGGTGACGTCGAAGGAAAAGGTGCTCGGGCCTCCCGTGACGCCTGCAGCGGTGATGTTGCCGTTGGTGACCGACAGCTTCGTCTGGTCGCTGATGGTGACATCTTTGCTGAATGCGATGAACACTCGGAAAGGGTAGGCTGCTGTGGTGTCTTGATTGTCCTGCAAATACAGCACTGCCGTGGGAATGGGCGTCGCTGACAAAGCAGACAATGACATGAGGCATCCTGTGTGTGACACTTCTCGTGTTGGTTGTCTCACTGTAGTCGACTGCGATCGAGGCTGGCGAGTTGCCCCTGTATGGGACGGCCGCATCGGCCACGACATCATCGCCGATCGTCACGTTCACTCTGCCCTCGACGGTGGGACTCAGCTCAACTGTCACCTGTGCTGCAACGCACACACGCACACACACGAATATTCACGGAAAACAGGGAGTGGATCTATCCTTACAAGCCCCCACGAGCACATTGGAGTACACGACGTCCGCTGATGGCTGCTGTGCGGGATTCAGCGCCTCAATAGAGAGCGTGAGGTCTTCAGTTCTGTTGAAAGTAGCGACGTCAATGGGCTCCTCCAAAGGTGATAACAACGGTGATGGGCAAAGACGCCCACGCCGCCTGGGGAGAGGACATGGTGGCCGAGAACGGCAGCACGGCTGCAATAAGCGCATGCATCACATGTGCATGTGTAGATGGTGTCTATCAGCACAATGCGCGTACTGTATGTAAACCTGAAAAGAGAAGTATATCCACAATGTATAATGCAGGCTGCAACACTCTCAGTTTATCGTCAATACGTGAAGTTGGTGTTGGGGTTTGGGAGCCCGAGGCCATCCTGTGGAGAAGCACGCACCCGCGTTTGCTCGATGCAACGGCACACATGCACGTATGTCTTCGTACCTTCACAATGCCGTGCATGACGGTCAGCATCAGGTACGTCACACTTCCGCCTCCGGTCGGAGCGTCGGGCACTATCACAGCCTCATAGAGAGTGTCATTGCCAACAGCCGCCCTGTCAGTATACACACAGGTGAGCGTCGGCTCGTCACCGTGGTATGCACATGATGATGTCTCTGTGTGATCGTGCCTGATGTCGGTGAGAGTGCCGTTGGTGACGAAGGACTCGGTGGCCGGCGCGAAGCCCGCCGACACGCTCCCGCCAAATGAGATACTGAGAGTGATTGGGGTGGTGTAATAGCTCGGAGGCGGGTCGACGATTGACGGCGCGGGCACTGTGTGTAAGAATATACCCATCCGTATGTGTATTTGTATACGTTGACCTATGTGTGGCTGTGCATTTCTCAGGGGGATACCTGACTTGTGGTAGCACGTGCGTTTTCCTGGTGCGGCGGCGTCGTACGAGTCGATCAAGCCATAGAGGATCCGACACTCGGGCTCTTCCGGCTTCCCTGTGTGCTCAATCGCGGTGCAACGCCTGCATACACACGTGAAGCACACATCAAGGTCAGTCAGTCGGTCAGCGCGGATTATACTCGCCGCACACTCACCTGTCCAGAAGGCACTCCACCGAGCAAATATATCTTCTCTCCCAATCGCCGGTGTTGCTGTTCCAGTCAAGCTCGGTCAGATTGGCGATGCGGTAGAGTGTCTCCTGGCCGCCACTCCGACAACCACCACTGTTCTTAAACGCTAAAGACATCCATCAACATTCATATACGGTGTGAGATCGATCGATCGACCGATCGATCGCCAGTACGTATTGTCGTACCTCCTCCTTGCCGAACGATGCAGAGCGTGGTGGTGGAGTCCTGTGTGGGAGGGATCTTGGCCCAGCTATGGTGAATTCTGCAATGCCGCGTGCTGTCAATCTGCAGCCGACATGGACGTGCCCACGTATGGCATGCAGGAAGAGATACAGACATGTGTGAGAAAGCCTCACGTTGAGCTGGAATCCTGTACAGACAGGATGCGCGCTGCAAAGCAAATCAGACGTCACAGGTTCACCCACACCAAGCGGCACGTGCCTCGTTTGCCTGTCTTCAAAAGCTGCTTACAGACACAGTTCTCCACATTCCATCTTCCTGGCCTCGGTGTCGCCCTCAGGGATGCTCGTGCTCAGCGTATAGTCATGGAGCGGAAGAGTGTCCGTGTACCTGTGTACAACACGTACAACACAGAGATGTACGTACGTGTACACGTACGCACGCACGCGTAGGATACGTATATATTTATGTACTCAAAGAATCTGCCCTGGCTGGGGCAGCTGCCTTCGCAAATGCAATCGGACGTCACATCGGGCTCTCCACCAACGCGCGACATACAGGAAAACAGCCACTCATTGAAACCGACACAACTGGTGCGCTTCTGCTCACTGAATTCATCTGTCCACTCTGCAGCATCGCCTGCAGAAAACACAGGAGACAACACATGCTCAGCTGTCGCCATCTGCAGTGCAAATGTGTGCATCCCCCACCTGTCCACAAAAGCAACTTCAACGAAAGGACAAGCAAAGCACGAGCAATGGGCACCGTCGTGATGATCCCTTTGCGGCCGTGCATCGTTGCCCGTGCTCCCCCCTCCTCAGCTGCCTTTGCAGACAAGAAAACACGTGTTGTCGGCTGCACTGTTTGCAGCCGCCCTGTTTTCACCGGCCCCCGGCAGCGCGGCTCTCGTTCAAATGCCGACTGGCCGCTTAATAGGGGGATTGCACCTCAAAGAAGGGAGGGAAGGGAGAAAAGCCGATCTTTGATCCAAAAGCTCGCAAAATGGGCTAAGCTCGCAGACGCAGCGAGGATAGATCTTTCCGTGGATGGGCGGCGACGAGAGAGAGCGGCCCAGACGAGGGCCCGTCCAGCGAAGATGCGCAGATTCGAACAGGTGTGTGCTCACAAAGATCAGAGATCACACGACAGACTGTCTGTATCTATCTTGGGTGTATTGTGACGCTCTGGTGTGCTTGTCAGACATCACTCTTCGGCCATTCTCGCAACAGGGCGTCGATCAAGCAGCAGCCTGGCTTGCATAATTTTTGCCTGCTGCCTGCTGCCTCTTTCGGGCGCCTTTCGACCGCCTGGCCCGCTGCTGTCAACGGCGGCCGTCACTCGGTCATCCCTTGCAACGAACAGGAGGCCAGCACATCGGTCGGCAGATGTTCATACACGGTGTACACATGAGGGGAGGGGTGGGGTGACACGGATGGCGGCAAAGCAGAGGGACGACAAGAAGATGACCAAAGAGGTGCGGTGCGCGGCTGTGAGTGTGCGAGCAGATCTACACACCTGTGTCTTGTCTTGTCTTGTGGCTTTGTTCAATGTAGGTGCTAAAAGATGTGGTTGAGCAGGACCGGCAGATGCTCGTGTCGTTGGTGATGAGCAACATGGACCGCGGCGTCTCAACACAGTGCGTGCCGATATGGATGGACACTCTACATGCTCTGCACTGTTCACGTGTGCATGTGTGTGTGTGCGTGTTGTGGAATGCATACTGCAGGTCTGAGACGAGGAACGCTCAATTGCAGAACCTGGCGGTGCTGGGGCTCGTTATTGCCTATGTCGTGTGGCAGGTACCTCCTAAGCCACACACATGCATTGAAACGGACGTGTGCGCAGGATTGGCGTGTAATTGTGTTGATGTGTTTCTCTCTCTGTGTGCACCTATGCAGTTTTCAACGGTCGACATGAACATATGGCGGGGCTGGTACGTGCACACACACAGAGAGATAGAGCCTCGAGAGACCTTCATATCCTCCCTCCCGTGTGTGCCATCCATGTGCACAGGTCGATTGAGGAGAAGCTCTTTCGGCTGGTGCCCGCCAACTGGAACGCATACGAAGTACAAACGTATTGATTGCATAATTCGTGTGTCTGTGCATACCCGGGGGGTGGTGTACCTGTATGGCATGCATATTGGGATCATCTGTTGTGTGTGCACCACTCACAGGAGGCCCTTGCGCGCGAGCCCCTCTTTGTGAAGAGTGTCCTGACGGGCGCCACCTACTTCATCGGCGACTGGATCGCGCAGAGCGTCGAAAACAAGGTGGGTGCGTATGCATTATGTGTGCATGTGCGCGAGTGTCCATGTGTCCATGTGTGGATGTGCGTGATGTGCCTGTAGGGCAAGAATCGTGATCCGCTGTTGATTGACCGGTGGCGGCTGCTGAGGAACACAGTCCTGGGATTCGTCCTGCTGGGTGGGTACACACGTGTATGCGCACTTAAAGTGGTGCTCATATGTGTGTGTGTGTGTGTGTGTGCGTGTGCAGGTCCTATAGCGCATTACTACTACGATTGGAATGCGAGCTGGCCGTTCCCATGGTGCGTGCGTAGATACCTGGACGCCTGCGTGTGTCATGTGTGGCTGTGTGCGCACGTGTGTGTGTGTGTAGGTTCTTCAAGCTTTTCATCGATCAGACGTCATATGTGCCCTTTCATAACACGGTGCGTGTGTGTGTGTGTGTGTGCACATATCACACATACATGTGTGTGTGCAGATCTACTTCATGTCACTAGAATTGCTCGCTGGCAAAAGGTACGCCCGATGAACACGTACCTGCTCACCTGTCTGTCTGTCTGTCTATCTGTCTGCGCGTGTGTCCTTGTGCAGAATCGGCGAGGCTTGGAAAGACTACAAGGGCAAGTTCTGGGACTTTCTTTTCGCCGGTATGCGCCCACACACACTCATAGATTCCAGTTGGTCCTTGGAAGACTGTGAGCACATTGCTATCATCAGGTTGGCGTCTGTGGCCGTGGGTGAACATCCTGACCTACACAATCATTCCCATCAGACACAGACTCCTCTGGTATGTACCCGCTCTCACACTTCTCAACACACATGTGCCCAAGACATGATGGGGAAACCTCTGTGTGTGTTTTCAATAGGGTGGATTCGCTCGAGATTGTTTATGCGGCCATTCTCTCTCTGCTGGCCAACGAAAAAGATGCCAAGGAAACACCTGCCGGACCATCATCAGAGCAGGACTCCCCACCGCCACCACCAGCAGCACCAGCAGCAGTTGAAGCGCCTTCCTCTCTCTCTCACCACACAGAGCAGCCGGCACACGGCCACACACGCGTGGACGTGCACGCCGACACAGAGGGAGGTGGTGGTGGTGGAGCTGGTGAGCAGCACCTGATCGATCCCGCTGCTGTCATCACGCCAGAGACCCCAGCAGTAGATGAGCAGCAGAGGAATGTCGTTACCAGATAGATTGCCTGTGTGTGGGCGTGTGTGTGTCGGGGGGTGGGAGGGAGGGTGTTCGGGTGCTCTGCCTGAGCGACGAGCGAACCGATCGGATGACGCGGGTGGACGACGAGAGAATTTTTCTCCTACATGGCATGGCTGCTTCATGGCGATGTGAATGTGTGGCGGAGGGGTGGATGTGTGTGGCTATTTGTCGATACTGGCAAAAATACACATACAGGCAAGGCAAGTGTACACATCGAGTGCTGAGGCCACGGGGAAGTCAGGGACGGAGACAGGCTGCCGTGGGTGGCGTACAATAAATATATATACTGGCGAGTGTAGTGAGTGTACAGTTGACACACACTGGGAGGGAGGGAGGGAGGGAGGGAGGGCAGGGATGGTTTTGGCTTTCGCTTTGGTTTCGGCCGTTGCCCACTGGCTGGGCTGGCTTTGCACGCTTGCTGTATGTCCCCACCACCGACATTGCTTGACCGAGAGAGCAATCAATCCGTGTACACGTACGTACAGCATTCGTGTGCCAACATCGTGATGGATGTGGTGAGTATATGTACACATGACTGAGAGTTTTTTACACGACGATGCAGGGAAGTGTGCAGGCAGTGTGAGTTTCTTCGTCCGTGTCAGTCAGTGTGTGAGAGCTGTGCTGACGTGTGCTGTGTAGTAGCTACACAGGACATTGAACATTGACCTCAAGTCACGAGTGTGTCCATCATGATGAATGGCGGGCAGATACGTACGCACATGTACGTACGCGCCAGTCAATGATATGTCAAAAAGTATCGCCACTTGCCCCTCCCCTCTCTCTCGGCTGACTGCTTTGCTTTGCTTTGCTTACTCCACATAAAGTGTAAGTACGTGACACATACAAAAGGCCACAAACAAACACGCCTAACGTGTGTGTGCGATCATTGGGTCATCATCTCTGCCTGCTCTTCATGTACATGTACGCAGCGACCAGCGCCACCGACACGCCCGCAACCACGACAGGCACCAAGGGAAACGACACTGATCGCGACGGCGGCGCCTGATCCGTCCACACACGCATCCATCCATGTGTGTGCTTGTGTGTATGTCTATGTCTGGCTTACCTCCTGGGCCCATTTGGGCACGTTGGTCTTGAGCAGCGTGCCGGTGGGTCCAGTGTCGTTCTCGTGTCCCACCAGAGTGCCGACTTCGAACTCCTGGGCCTTGTCCCTGGCGAAGTCGCTGTGGCCCACGTCCTCATACTCGTCGGACACATCCCGACCTGCACCATCGACCACAGACACAGACACAGACACAGACACACAGACACAGACACAGACAGGCACAGAGTGAGAGATTTCGGCAAAGACAGACAGAAAGACAGAGAGGGAGGGAGAGGCAGGCAGTGCGCTCAGACTGCCGACAGACAGACATGTATGTATCTATACACACCTGCGATTCTGACGACGACTTCGGGGCCGCCCGGATGGTCCTTGAGGAAGGGCGTCACATCATATACCTGCAATGGATGGACCGGTGGGGTGGACCGATGGACACACACAACACACACACAGAAGGGTTGCATTCCACATCACATGTGTGGAATGCCAGCGGATGTGTGTGCGCGTGTGCGTATGTTTTTGGTTTGATTGACTGACTGATTAACTGACTGACCTTGCCGTGCACGGCTATCCAGCAGTCCTTCTCACGCGTGTGCTTGGCCAGCTCATCCACACTGATCACACGCACCATGATCTCCTGCAGCTTCTGCTTCAACGCAGTCAAGACTCTCCAGCAGGCTGCCGCGAGCTTGAAACCGATCATCACCTCTGGCAGATCTGCTGAATTTGGGCAGCGGAATGGCGTGAAATAGTCAGCGACGAACGCCAGCAAGCCCATTCGACGGAGATCTATCCATCTCCACGGATGTCTGCACGTCGCCACGCGGTGCGGCTGTGTGTGCGGCCGTTCGGGACGTCACCAGCAGCGGCAGCGGCAGAGGCAGTGCCACCACCGCCAGCACAGGGGGGCATCTACAGGGGATTCAAGTGAGGAGATGGCTCTAATGAATCAACGGTTGTTTCTGTGCGTACTGTGCGTGTTGTGTGGTGCAGGTTTGACCGTGTGGCTGACAGCAAGGCCAAGAGCCCCGAGGAGCTCATAGAGCTGGACCAGATGGCCATGGTTGGGATGAAGGTGGGCGATGGGATAGAGGCAATGACAGAATGACAGCAATGAGAGGAATGAGTTGTGTGTGTGTGTGTGTGTGGCCGATGTGCAGAGTTTCAAGCTGACGCTCAAGATCCGCACCATTATCTCTGAGATGCTCAAACGGTCACACACACAGACAGACAGACACACACACACACAGACACACACACAGACATACACACAGACACACACACACACACAGACAGACAGGCAGCCATGGAGGGCTGACTCTTCGTGTGTGTGCATGTGTTGTTTGTGTGCAGGTTTGGGCACAAGGGCGATCTCGAAGAGATGGGCAAATACATGCAGGCAGGGGCAGCCAGCCACTGTCAAATGAATGCATAGACACACAGCCCAGCCGCCTGTGTTTACTGTCTGTTGCTTACACACAGATGCGGCTGCGCACGCGCACGTCAGCCGAGGTGCCACGCGTCCTGCCCTCAAGTAACCACACACACACACACACACACACACACACAGAGAGAGAGAGAGAGAGAGGGATCAAGCTGATCTAATGTCGCACCGCTTACTGCCTTGCGTGTGTGGGTGTGTGTGGGGGTGTGTGGTACAGATTTGTTGCCCGAGAGTGAGCAGGGGCAGTCTGTGGTCGACAAGATATTGAGCAAGCCGGGCTACAAGGAACTCAACGAGCTCCTGCAAGTCGCCCAATGTGCGTATGCACACACACACACCCATTCATCTATCCATCCATCCATCCGTTGTGTGTCCTTGTGCGTGCTCTCTATCTCTGTGTGCACATGTGGGTGTGGGTGTGGGTGGGTGGTATCTTGTCGCGGCAGCTCTGCCGGATGAGAGCGAGGTCAAGAAGTTGGCCATTGCGCATGCGGAAGACTCCAGACACAAACTGTACAACATGACATCAGTATGTGTGGGTGGGTGCTGGGGATGCGTTAGGGTGGGTGTTTGGTGCGCACGGATGCGCTTGTTGGCTTTGTGCGTCTGTGTCTGTGTGTGTGTGCAGGTGAGCTACTCGCCCCAGGCAGCCCTCGCACATACGGCACACAGGTCAACACACCCACACGTCCAATGGTACGCACATATCTGTCTGTCTGTCTGTGTGTCTGTCTGTGTGTCTGTCTGTATGTATGTGTGTGTTAGGCTGCCCAAGCAGTATGCGGCCTTCTTCCGAGTGCTCTACGAGGTCACCAAGCGCGTTCCCGACTTCAGGCCGCGCACACTGGTGGAATACAACGCCCAAAGCGCACCGGGGATCATGTAATGTACCTATAGCACACACAGACACAGACACACACACGTACACATGTTTTGATGTGCTGTATCGCTCTGTGTCCGTCCATCTGCCCCTCTGTGTGGTGTGTGCGTGCAGTGCGGCACATCACATTTGGGAGGGGGGATTCACCGACACACTGGCTGTTGAACCGTCGGGTAGGTCAAGAATTGACGAATGTGTTCGTCCATCTCTCTCTGTCTCTGTGTGTGTGTGTGTGTGTGTGCGTGTATGTGTGTGCAGAGCACCTGACGCAGATCGGCAAGTTCCTCACCTCAGGTAGAAGCGTACCAGACACACATCTTGGAGTTTGTGGATTCTTATGCGAATGTGTGCAGATTTCCCGTCCGTGCGGTGGCAGCTTCAGCTCTACGAAGTCAGTGAGCCAACACACACACGCCCACACACACACACATGGACAGATTGATGCATGTGTGTGTGCGCAATCAGGTGACGCACACGTTCGATTTGTGTCTGGTGTCGTACGCCCTGGCGGGCATCAAGGGCCAGGAGTCGCGCGAGATGCTCATCAAGAACCTCTGGAATAGAATCAACCCCGGAGGCTGCATGGTCGGCTTGCTGTCCTTCACACACACCTATCCATCCATCCATGCGCACCGGGCTGTGTGTATGCGTGTGTGCCAGGTGGTAATCGAGCCCGGCACACCTACTGGTCGGTACACCACACACGTACACGTGGATGGATGGATGGATGGGTGTGTCTGCCTGCCATCGATCCATTCATGTCATGTGTGAGCAGGGTTTCGGTTCATCCACGGCGTGCGTGAGATATTCATCAAAGAGCTGGGGGATAAGAAGTTCCACTTTGTCGCTCCGGTGCGTACACACGAACACACACACAGATGTACCTGGAGGGAGATGGGTCCATCCATTGTGCTGTGTGTGTGTCAGTGCCCACACGAAGGCATGTGCCCTCTTGCCGTCACGGGCAAGGACTGGTCAGTCATCTATATGGCACACACACGGACACAGAGAGAGAATGCATGTGCTTCGATTCATCCATCCATCAACGGTGTGCATGTGTTTGTGTAATGTGTGTGTCTGTGTGCAGGTGTCACTTCAGCCAGCGGCTGCACAAGATACCCCACTACATCTACAACAAAGTACGCACAAGTTCACGCCAAACACGCCAGGCACACCCTCACACAGACAGACAGACAGACACGTGATGTGATGTGTGCACATGTGTCAGGGTTATCGGTGCAACAACATCGATGACGAGAAGTTCAGCTTCTTGGTCATTCGCAAGCAGCCGGGGCCCAGGTCAGTGGACGACATACATTCGCCTGTGTGTTCTGCACGTACGTCTTGATGGTGCCCACTGTGCGTGCCGCACCCAATAGGGTGCTGTACAAGACCGAAGATGAGGCGCCTTTCCCCGCTCTCAAGTCCTACTTCTGGCCAAGAATCATATACGTGAGCACGCGCCTTGAGCTGCATATGTTGACGTCCATCCATCCATCCGCGGTGTGTGTCTGCAGCCGTCTCTGAAGCGAGGCGAGCACGTGCTGATTGACGTCTGTGCGGTGCGCGTTGACGCAAACACAAACACTCACACCAATGGCAATCTGTGTCTCTCTGGGTGGGTGGGTGTTTCGGGGAAGCAGGCGCCTCAGAACTTCGAGCGGCTTGCCGTCACCAAGTCGCAGTCACACGCATTCGGATACCGGTAGGGACACTATCACATCGCACACCGCATGTCCGTCGATGTGCGCACTTACTTGTCTGTGTCGTTGCTGTGTGTCCCCGTCTGTGTCTTTGCTGTGTGCAGTCAGGCGCGCACATCGATGTGGGGAGATCTCTGGCGATACCCAAAGCGGCTGTGCCGACCAGAGGTCAGCCATATATCCGTCCATCCAGCCACACATCGTGGCTCGTGTGTGTGTGTGTGTGTGTGTGCGAAAGGCACGTGCGTACATCCCTGATGAGACGAGGAGCCATCTCGAGAGGAAGGCCAAGAAGGCACGAGAGGTATGTCAGTGGGTGGGTGGGTGGGTGGGTGATGTCATCACCAACCAATGCACAAGTGGGTGCGTATTCCTGGCCACCCGCATGGCCATTGCGTGTGTATGCAGGCTCTGAAGGCGCTGGACAGCAGCCAGGCTGAGGAGTTCCTCAAGAGGGAAAAGAGCCACTACGGCAGCTAACTAGTTGACCGACGGATGGACAGAGGGAGGGATGCACAGACCTTCATGCCTGTCACCGTGTTTGTCGACTTTTGTGGCGGCGGTATGTGTGACGGACCAAGTGCAGCGGCACTCTCTTGTACACATAGACGGCCGCACTGTGGTGCGATGGGACTTACTACGCGTGCGATTACGTGTGCGATAATGGAGAAAGCAAATCCTATCCTCACAATAGGAACCTCGAATTTGCATTTGGACAGGATGGCGCGTCGAGACTCGACGTGGAAGATTCCACCCCCTTCCCCTCCACGTCGAGGTGGGGGTGGTGGGGGTGGACCACCACCACCACCTCGACGTGGAAGACGGAAAATGATAATCTGGCGCCTTCACCTTGCTGTGCAAAAAAGTGAAGGGCAATCATCTCACCGATATGGATATCATTGCGTTGATGCCGAAGAATGAGATCACGGCGTGCATCCGATAGGTGGGCCATCTATTGAGGCACAATCGAGACAGAGACTTTATACACAAATACTTTAGGAGGCGCGGTCAGGCCGGGATGCAGGACGCGACGGCGGACTATATCAAGTACCTCCTCCTACCGCCAGAGAAAAAGTGAGCTCTTCAATACGCCAGAAGAACCCACTGCACCCATCGAACCCACTACACAAGGGCAGCTCACCAAGTGGGTGTGGATCTTGGAGGCTGACAACTCGCCAACATCCGAACCGTACGAGGTAACTGTTGAGGCGGCCCCGGCGAGTAAGCTCCCTGACGACAGACCAAAGGTGAGCTCGACACACACACATCCAACACGCACGCGTGGATTAATGTGGGCCGCGTCTCTCTGTGTGGTTGTCAGGCTGACAATGGTTCATCTGCGGCAGTACCGCCACGTGGCCCCCTGGCGGACAAGCCCCCTGACGACAGACCAAAAGTGAGCTCGACACATACCTCTCCAACGCGCACGCGTAGATGAATGTCTGCCGCGTCTCTCTGCGTGGTGGTCAGGTTGGCAATGGTGCATCTGCTGCAGCCGCTGCGGTGCTGCCACATGGCTCTCTGGCTGGTCGAAAACCTGCTTTGAACAACCGCAAGCCAACCGATACGGAGCGAAAACGGGACAAGATCCGTTGTTGGAAGAAAACAATAGACTACTACAAAGCTGTCATCGCCCTACACTTGACGCAGTTCAGTCAAGTGTTAGAGCACGAGAGACGGCTGTATCTGTGTATGAAGGAGGGAGCCAAGAGAATTCCCCCCAAGTCAGCTATCATACGATGTTCTTCATCGCGTAAGTGAGGGAGTCGTGTAAGTGAGGGAGTCGTAAAGCATTGGTCTTGCCTGGGAGGGACTGAAATATGTGTCGTTTACGAGGACTGACTATACTGCAGGTGTTTTGCGTCATCAACTATTCGCCACACGATACAGAGTGTTTCTGTCAACTCGCTGGGTAGGCGTCAAGCAATGGGCCATTCTCTAAAGTGCCGTGTCTCGATGTCTTGAATGGCTGTGTCCCTTATGCTGCTCCTGCCTTGATCTGTCAATTAATCAGGGCCCAGCACGACCTGTTGTTCATCGGATCAACAGTGCGAGTCATCGCGCCTGAGAACGATGGGACCATGACAGATGGACTTCACGTGTTTGTCTGCGAGCATTCGATGTGCCCCATCAAAGTGGACTTCAATACGGTCGGTCACAAGAATTTGCAGACCAGGGCTACCAGTGCTTTCTGTTCGAAGCGACCGAATTGACCTTTCGAGAGCTCTACGTACGTATTGGGTGCTAAGAATAGAGAAAGAGGGCGTATACGAAGAAGAAAAAGGGGAGAGACAGGACCGTCTTACACATAATCTTCCTTCTGTCTGCTTGGTTGTTTGTGTGTTGTGTGTATTTATCCATGTGTGTCTCAGGTAACTTACGCTTGTGGCGGAGTGCGTCGAGCCCCAGACCATTTTGGATCCCATCTGCCCTCCACTTTGCCTACCCCTCACTTCCCCCCACAGACTCTTCTATCGTCGGCTTGGCAAGAGAGAGGGGCAGGATCAAGATGGACGTGGGCGACAGTTCACAGCGTGATGCACTCCTGCAGCAACCGCACTTTATAACTTATGCCTGTGGCGAAGTGCTGTGTGATAAGCAGTTTCCATCACAGACGGCTGTACAATATGCTTGCGGAGGGCACAAGCAACTATGGCGTCAACAGTGATCAGTGCGGCTGTGGGCTGTCGACGGTCGGACAGCCGGCGGCGCAGGTGACGGTGCAGACCGGCGTGAGCCTTAAGAGCAAGCAGATGAATGCGTTGAAAGCTCAGCCGCCTAGACCGCCCAGCACTCGACCACGACGACGACTCCGAACGCAAGCGGAGTCCCGCTGAGGCAGTGCGGCAACTGCATTCTGGGCCACGGCAAGGCGCCGAATACAGAGGAGGTCAAGCACTTTGCAAACCCTCCCTGGGTTTTACACGTCATACACCCATGTTTGTATGGCTTGGCACCGTGCTGTACAGCGTGTTGTTCAACTGGCACGCCTACATATCACCATTTCTCTCTCTCTGTGGGTGTGTTGCTGGTTCAGTGTTTGTCTCGGTTGTCGGTGTTGGGTATCTGTTGTGTTGGCATCGTTTGGATCCACACACACCCGACTTCGGTACACAACCCAACCACACTCTCACTCACCCACGCACCTCTGTCATACGGGTGTGTGGTTCATGTTGCTGTGTTGTGTTGTGTGTTCTTGGGATAGGTTAGGTTGTGTGGTTGGCAGACGGTGGGGCAGTGAGCTGTGCTCGTACTACCTCATCCCACCGATCTGACCTGGGTACGCCATGCTCACCACCCTCACCCCCAACACACACACACGTGGTGCACACACGTATGGACCCTGTCGGTTGGGGTGTGTGTGTGATGTATTCGTGTGGACTTCAGTGCGCTTCGTATTCGTTCCATATCAACCAGAGCGTTCACCTCGAGCTTCCCGTGCGTCAGTCAACGTCACTATACGTCTCTCCCACGACATACATCATCTCGGCATCTCCGCACAGTCTTCGCATGGCTCGGCTACCCACTCATCCTGCGGAACATCGCCTACGTGCTGTGCCACCTGAAGTGCGTGCGGGACTGCGTCGTTTGGCTTCCGGAGTCCAAGACGGGGCGGGCGCCGGTGGTGGTGGTTCTGGGTCGCGTGGTGTTCCTGAACATCGACAAGCGCGTGTACAACAACCAGCGCGCGGACATCGAGAAGCGCGAGTACAACAACCAGCGCACCCGGCGGGCGGCCGCAGATGAGAAGACAGAGTTCTTCCTGATCGACGCCGAGCGGGAGGATGACATCGGCAACAAGAGCACCGGCACCAACACCCCCGGCACTTACGAGGCGCCCACAAACCCCCAGCACAAGGGAGCTTGACCTGCAGCGGGCCCACAGGAGTGTCGGATTCCATGCAAGTCCTGCAGGCTGCATCACTTCCACCATCAGTGCCTGCAATGAAAGACGCAGTCTCAACCCCAGCCATCCGATGACTGAAAGGGGGTGTGCCTATCATCTTCCGCTACAAATAGACATCCACCATAGCGTGTCTCTTTGTCCCATCTTAGTCCTTTGCCTGTTCCTCATCCCTTCCATCGCTGCATCATTTGTGTCTGATGACTCGTATGACTCTCGTATGACGGACAGAGTGCCAAAACATCTGATTAATGAACGGAAAGCCGTCTGCACATATCGGCTATACTCAAACACGTACTCAAAGTGTCCCATCCGTCTCGTCTATACACACGCACACACGCGCAGACACAGCAAAATGCACATTGCATGCACCGCATGAATCGATCGATTGTCAGCTACAGCACGAGCACCTCACACAGCACCTCCGCATCAAAAGTCTGCACCACCAGATCAGGCAGGCCACCAAAGAGAGACGGGTGGGTGCATGGCAAGTATGTATGGACGTCCACACACAGGTTGGGTGGGTGCATCAATCGAGCCTGCCTGCCTGCCTGCCTGCACGTATCGCACCGCACTGACTGACCTGTTGACTGGCCACATCAAGCACCGACACACCGGACAAACCGTGCAGACCTGACACACGGACACATCGATACACACACGATGGAAACATTCGCCATTCCCATACGACAGACACATACGTACCTGGTAGCAGAGCAATGACGGGCAGTGTGAGCCTCTTGGATGAGTTGGCGTCCACGCGGCCTATCGACTGCACACGCGCCCACACGTCCCTCCAGGTGAATTGAATGCACGTGTGGGCGTCTTCATACAGACCTGTGTGGTGGTGCCCGGCACATGAAGGGACCCCATTCGGTCCTGCGCAGCGCACGAGTACACACATATACATACCGCACCCAAACAGACAGACAGCTGAGTGTTTGCACGAGTGTGGTGTGAGTGCATACCTTGTTCATAATAACTATGACGGTTTCCATGTCCTTGCCGGTCCGGTTGATCACATCCAGCGTGATGGGAAACGGCAGCTCCACCTGCACACACACATGCACACACAGAGATGCCCATTCATTCATTCATTCATCTGTCGGTCGGTCTGTCTGTCTGTCTGTCTGTGTTGGCTCACCCCGACAGTGTGTGGGCACTCCCGCACTCTCAGCTCTAGAGGCTTCGGCTGAATCGGCTGCATAAACCACCAACACACACAAAGGAGGGTATCTCTGTCCGTGTGTGTGCCTGTGTGGGATCGTACCATCTTCTCTATTCTGTATTCGTTGTGCACCCCCGGCCCGCCGGTGGATGTGCGCCACTCGAGCAGCAGACGGCCGATCGACGGCAATGTCTGACACACACATGACACACAAGTGAGAATGAATGCGTGCGCGTGTGTATATCGGTGTGTAGATGTCGTGTGTGCGCGTGCCCGGAGGTATGTGTCGTCGTCGCATTTGACGTTGAAGACGGCGAAGTGGATCTCTTTGGGCCGCACGTAACACAAAGGTGGCGCCAGCGGCCTGAATGCCCAACAAGGGTATTGGTGTGCATGTCTGTGTGTGGTTGTGTACTTGTCGGCGTCATTTCCGGCGTCCATGACAATGCGCGTCGCGCCTAACGTTGGCTGGGCTGCACGAAGCCACATACGCATCCATTTATCCATCCATCCATCCATCCATCGATCCATGTAAGTAGTATCTGTGTGTGTGGTGTACTAACAAGGTGTTTGTGGGCTCTCCAAAGTGAGGGCGGCATTCGTCAGCAGAGCACCTGATGCGTGTGCGCACCACACAACACATTCACACGCATACACACACCATAGTGACATGGCTGCAGGCAGGCGTGTACCTACCGCTTGACGAGACATTCTCGATGCGGCACTCCACCCACAAATCGTCCTGTCAACACACATACCACATCCATGCACCCATCCGTGTGCATGTGTGTGTGTGTGTGTGCCCAGGTACCGATATGAACTTGGTTCGGTGGGAAATTGAGAACAGTGGGGACACTGACACCCACAGACACACACCGATAGACAGGCCCAATGCGTCTGTATGCCCCTTTGCAACAGCCGCCCACCAGTGAATCGATAGCTCCGCCTGAGTGTCCGCTGCTCGCTCGACGACGCCGTGCGGTAGGTGCTCACAACCGTCAACACGTGCGTCATGGCCTCGTTGACGTGGTGCATTATCGTGAAATCCCTGCGCACACAAGCGACAATCAAGCAATCAACACACAAACCCTAATGCACTTGTGTGTGTGTGTGTGCGAGTGCATGCCTGTATTCGCCAGGTCCGACTGGCCCCCTCTCTGTGGTGTCGAGCAGCAGATACCGAGATGACGTCACGGCCGCATTTGGCGTGCTCCCCACCTCCACGCACACACGCACACACCAAGACACACGCGTATCCATCCATCTGTGTGCATGGTTTGCACGCACCCCCATCTCCACGTTGACGCGCATATCCTCTATTCTCTCGCTCATAGACGTGTTGAGCAGGTGCAGGTAGGCCGTGAAGGTCTCGCCCACATGCACCTTGCTACACACACACAGACCACGTCGAGAGTGTGTGTCAATCGGCGAGCCGTCCAACTCACCCTTGGGAAGTGGGCAGCATTAGGGCGTGCGCAATGTCCAATGACGAGAGATCGTCACCATGATCAGGTGCCCCTGCTGCTGCAGCTGCAGCTGCAGCAGCAGCTGCCGGTGGTGCTGCTGGTGGTGGTGAGCCGGCCGATTGGTCCACCTTGACACACACACAAATATACACAAGCGGACACAAAGAGAGAGAATGAAATTGCGTCTGTGTGAATGCATTCCATTCATTCACACACACACACACACAGATACACACAGACACGCACCTCGTTGAGCACTTCGTCCATCTGCGTGTCGATGTGCGGCCACACAGAAGTGGTCATCGACGGCGTCGTCAGACGCATCACACGCTGACGCAACGCCATAATGCCATGCAAGCCAAACACACACACACACACACAACACACAGATCAGATGAATGAATGAATCACGGTCTGGCGCCTCTTTTGCTTGTGTTTGCTCACCAATAAGAGAATGTTCTCTCGTGGATCTGCCATTGTCCTGCTCACTCTCAACACACGCAGCCCCGCAACAAACACGGCGGTCGGATCGGTCTCCTTCTGTGCGAGCTTAGAGTCGAGAGCGACCTTGCCGCAGAAAGAGAGGTGAAAATGGCACGAGGACTGCGTTCAGATGGAGAGGAGAACCGCTGTGGATGAGTGCATCTTTGCTTTTGATGGATCTTTTGCGTCACGATGTCTAACTGCAGGTGTTGCTGCTTGTGACTGACTCTGCACTTGTTGCATCATTATGGCTGCTCAGCTGTCTTATGAGGCCTTCCTGGAGGTCATGGGGCCGCAGGTCAGTGAGTGAGAGACTGGGAGAAAGACGAACACACACGCATCGACTCGTGTATATGAGTGTGTTCTGACTGTCTGCAGCTGGTGGGCATGGGGCTTCCAGAGAAGGTAGGTGAATTGACCACTCCACTCACAGACGCACAGCAGGAACACAATATATAAGACGAACACATAGACGGCTGATGGAATATGATGCACTGAGTGGACGGCATGTGTGTGCGTGTGTGTGCAGCTGTGGCGGTGTGCGTTTGACAAGCTCTCGTCCGAAAACCTGGACGCCTCCGACGCGTTCACACTCGTCGAGAGGGACGACAGACAGAGGGGCGAGAGCAAATGGCAGGTGGGAACACTGCACACAACACACACTCATGGATGTGTGTGTGTGTTGTGTAGGTGGTGTCATGTCGGCCGATTGAGAAGGAGAGCGGTGTGTGGCTCTGCGACCACTGCTGGTCGTTCAGGCTGAAGGTCGGTAAGTCTGTCGCTCTGCCTGTGAACGTTTCTGTGAATGTGTGTGTGTGTGTGTGTAGGAGGGCAAGCGTCAGCTCAAGGAAAATGAGAAGCTGAGAGCACGGCTGCAGAGGTGAGCATGTGTGTGTGGTGGATGGCATGGCATTGCTCGACTACTCAACACATATAAGCCCCTTGCCTCTCCTGTGTGTGCAGTCTGTTTGGTGTGTCGTCTGACACGGCTGTCGACGACCTGTGGAGAGAGCTGCTCCCCGCACTGCAGGCACGTATGCCGTGTGAATTAATGGCCGTGGACTGACTGACACACGTGTGTGTGTTGGTGTGTCTGTGTGTGTGTAGCACTACCAAGTGGCCTCCTCGAGTCGGCTTGACGAAGAGGCCGTCTGGTACTTGATGGACGAAGTGAGTATATATGTCAGCCCACACCCCCCCACACACAAATGCGCACAGCCGTGTACGTCTTGTGTCTGTCAGTTCGGCTCGTCCTTCGACGTGGAGATCACTCGGGTCGATGACGAGATGGACCAGAAAGGTCCGTGTGGCGCGTGCAAACAAACGTGTCCAGATCTTCCCAGATGTGTGTGTGTGTGTGTTTATGCAGATGAAGTGCCTGAAGCAGACGGCCTGGCCAACTTCAGGATGGCGCCTTTCTTCCACACACAAAGAGGTGGGTCCACTCACATGTGTGTGCAGAGGGAATGCTGTGGTTGTTGTGTGTGCGAACTGGTTGAGTGCAGGAGTGGCCTACACCCTCATCTGGCCGGTCAAAGACACAGAGGTCGGCACCCATACACACATGACATGACGCGCACACACACACAGCCTCCATCCATCCATCCATCCATGTGTGTGCTGCCAGCACTACGAGCCGTGTTCTCGGCTGGCTGTGCCCAAGTCGGGCGGGCCAGAAGACCTTTTACTGGACTTTCCATGCGTCAGAGTGCCCCAATACACGTCCGTACGCACGACGAACCCACCATCTCATCACCCAGCACTCGTCTGTCTGTCTGTCTGTCTGTCCGTCGTGTGTGTGTGTGCAGAGAGGCGTCACCCATCCCTGCTGTGCTGCAGTGCTCTCGGCTCTTCGCTCTGATGTTCCCATGGCGGTCGAGTGCAGCACGGTGGGCGCACACAAAGAGAGAGGGTGCGCGAGTATGTGTCTGTGGGTGGGTGGATGGACGGATATGTGTGTGATGGGGGGTAGAGAGCTGGTGGTGCCTTGGTACGTGCGCATGGCCGCCGAGCTGCTGCAGGACGAGAAGACACACATGGTGGTGGATGAGCAGCAGCCGAGTGCCGTTGGCAGCAGCTCATCCATCGCATCAGTGTTCGACTTCCCCCCACACAGATCGGCACAGATCGGTACACACACACACACACGCACACACTCATCAAGTGAAATGAATGCCTCAGACACACGACACTCTGATCTGTTTGTGGGTCTGGTGTCTGATAGAGTGCGACCGTCGTGAGCTGAGGCGGCGTGTGGACTTGATCGACCGCACCCAAGTGTCGGAGACGCTGAAGGTCAGTATGGCCGCAAACAGACACACGCATTCATTCTCACTTATCTCTGTTTGTGTGTGTGTGTGTGTGTGCAGAAGTCGCCCCTGCGCGTGTTCACCGATCTGCCCATCCTCCAAGAAACGCTCAGCAGGGACGACTTCACCTTTACCGACGTAAGTTAAGAGGGCACATTCACACACACGGATGGATGGATGGATGGGTGTCTGTGTGTAGGACATTTTGCAAGCCGATGTCCTGTATGTGAGCTACGTGCTCAACGACGGCAGAGATAAACCCACTGACGAGAAGGGCTCAGAATGGTCAACACAGGGGCGCACACACATGTGTGTCTGTGTGCGTGTCCATCTGTCCATCTGTCCATCTGTCCATGTGTGTGTGTGTGTGTGTGTCATTTGTTTGGGTGCAGGTCGTCGTCTATTCGGTTCAACTCGCACCAGCTGGTGAACCAGCTGGTGGGAGAGGGGCACATGACCACCAAAGACGGACTCGCAAAAATGACCAGGCAAGTCTCGTGTCATGATATGTGCACAGACCTTCTCTGTGTGTGTGCGCGATGTGCGGGCGTAGGAGGTTCGCATGGCTGCCTGATGCATATGACCTGTCCACCGAGCTGCCGCAGATGATCGGGGCTTACCATCGCCGCCATCAGTCAGCACAGGTGTGTGTGTCCACACACACGCATAGCATACACAGGCCGAGAGATACCTTTGTGTGTATCTGTGTGTGTGCAGGGGCCGTCTGCACCACCTGAATCGCCTCACCAAGGCAGACACAGCGACTACTGGATCGTCAAGCCCCGCAACTTGGCCCGCTCCATCGACACACACATTACCAACGACATCGACGAAATCGTCCGGTGGGCAGATGCGTCCATGTGCGTGTCCATCTATCCATGTGTGTGTGGTGTTGCCAGGCTGTCGTCCACTTTCCCCAAGGTGTGCCAGCGGTACATCGACCGGCCGGCCTGCATCGACGGCAAAAAATTCGACCTCAGGTAGACGTACGTGTCGATAGCACACACATTGGCAACAGTGTCTATGCGCGTGTGTGAGTGTGAGTGAGTGTGTGTGTGAAGGTTCTACGTGGCCGTCAAGTGCTTCCCCTCGATTGCGTCCGGCAAAGCCATTGAGATGGGCTGGGCGGGGCGGTGGCCACACACACACACACGTGTGCTGCACGTGGTTGGTGGAGTGCAGGTGGCCGTCTACGAGCGCTTTGCCGCTCGAATGGCCAACGAGCCCTTCAGAATGGACGAGTGAGTAAGCACACATCGGTCCGTCTGTTGATCCATCTGTCTGTGTGTGAGGTGGTCGGTGTCACGATGAATGTCATTCAGCTTCGATTCCTTCCCTGTGCACTTCACCGTCATGAACTACCAGGACGAGCAGACGCGCAGCAAAAACGTCGTCATGACCTGCACACACTTCAAGACACAGCTCGCCAAGTAACTAACGACGGGCAAGACACACCGACACAAACATACACAACGTGTGTGTGTGTGTGTGTCAGTGAGCATGGCCACCATGACGATGCGGCCGTTGCAGCGTTCTGGAAGGCCATCATCGACAAGGTTGTTGCTCTCGTGTGGATGGATGCATGGATGGATGGACAAGTGTATGGGTGTGTGGCGCAGGTGCACCTGATGGTGAGAGAGCTCTTCCAGACATTCGTCCAGCAGATGACCCTCAAGTACTCACACACGCAGAGCAGACGATCGGGTCAACCCCACCCCTGTGTGTGGTATGGTATGGTGTGCCTGCAGGGAAAACAGTTCGTCGGGTGAGAGTGTGCTGACCAACCCCACTTCCTTCGCCGTGTACGGCCTGGACGTCATGCTCGAGCACACAGAGGGCAACCTGGAGCCAAGGCTACTCGGTCAGTCAGCCTGTCTGGTCTGAGCACAGCGCCCCCACCATGAGTGTGTGTGTGACCACATCTTGTGTGTGTGTGTGTGTGTGTGCGTGAAAGCAGAAGTGACGTTCTTCCCCGACACTGCCCGGCTGGTCAAGGAGGACAGGGGGTTCTGGGACACGGTCTTTGGCTGGGTGTTCAGAGAGGAGAGGGGAGGGGCTATGGTGGAGGTCACCATGTAGAGAGATGGATGGACGGACGACTGCAGTCATCATTCCAGCGCCCCCCTTGGCAGATGAACGTGTTGATGTGTGTGAATGTATGTGTGTCTGACGCTATGTGCATTGGTTTGTCGGCCTGCGAAAGGCCGCTTCTTTATTCATGCTGCGTGTGGATGGATGGCCGATGAGATGAATGCATTGCATTGAAATGAACGGGCTAAGAGCGCACGCACCCTTAAAGGCAGGCAGGCAGGCATACAGACATAAACACACACACACACACAGAGAGACAGGGCGCATGCAGTGCACGCCCCTCCCTCCCTCCCTCCCTTCCTCCCTCCCTCCCTCCCGCCCTCCCTGCTCCCCTCTCTGCACTCAGCCCACCCCTGCGCACATCCGTGTGTGGCAAGCTGCCTGCCTGCCTGCTGCGCACCCATGCACACGCGCATTCACGGGGCTTAGGGTCTAGGGTTTACGGCTGTCGGTTACGGTTTTAGTGTCTAGGGTTTAGTGTCTAGGGTTTAGGGCTTAGGGTTTAGGGTTTAGGGTTTAGGGTTTAGGGTTTAGGGTTTAGGGT